ATAACAAATTTTATACTACAAAAAATTGTGTTTTTTTGTTTTTAATATTATTTAGGAAAGTATTTAATTTATAAAATAGCCAAAAATGGGTTAACTGTCTATTTATTGTACATTTTTCCTCTTATCACAGGAACATCTTTTTCAACTTACAAAATACTGTAAACACTTAAAAATTCTTTTAACTGATCATTAAAGCCAGTTCAAATGGCTTATAAGACACATTTGCTAATATAGGTTTTCCCTGCTGTATATTGAATTTTCATTAATTTCTTGATATGCTTAAAAATGAAAAGGATATGTATGATACTAAGAGGTAGAGATGTGCTTTTTGAATGAATGATGGCAAATGACGATTGACTCTTAAATATCCAAGGTGCAATAATATCAGCTTAGTGAGATTAATGCATGAAATTACTCAAAAAACTTGCTTTTTCAACTTCCATTTGGCATTAAAAAATGTTCTTAAATATTCACCAGAGTATAGAGAACTTATATTTGGAAGTATTTCTTTCTTCTCAACAAGAGAAGGCAATTTTAAGAATTCATTCCAAACAAAGGACTATTCACACTCAAGTGGTTTCTACATTCCTCTGCAAAGTGCTTTAGACCATGTAACAAGCTTGAAATGTATAATTTATATTACTAATTTATCAGGAAATATTTCCATGCAAGTACTTTCAAGAATGATCTCATTATAGAAATTAATTGATGATGCATTGTTAATATTGAGAATATTAAAAATCCTCTGTAAAAGTATTTACAAACTAACTCTTTGAAACAAATGTTTTTGAGCTTCCATCTGATAACAGGACAACCAAGAAACATAAATGCAATATTATTAACTCTTATCATATTTAACAAGGTCAGTTTATAAGTCAACACACTTGTATAATAAAACATTGGGAGTTTGTGTTACTCAGAATGGAAATGTTATGCTTAATCATTTTGACATTAGCAATCATATTTTTGAGATGCCCAAAACTTACTAATTGCAACAGAGCTGGATTCTGCAACTAAAAATAATCATAGGCATTTTGCAAAACAATTTTTATTTATCGCAATCCTACCAAACAGGGTATTCATTTAGAATCAACTAAAAAGCGAAAAATACATTTAATTGCAAATGCTTTAATATGTTGTTTGTTTCTATAACTGCCTATTTCCAAGGAAGAAATGGAGTAGACTTCAAAGACAACAAAATAAAACTTGTTTGGATGCAAATAAAAATAGTAATGTAAAATTCTAATTATATTTTGTTGCTTTTTATAAAGGGACATAATTAAATTCACTAATTTCCCTTAAAACATGATTCTTTTAACAGTATTTTCAACTTAACTAATGAATGTCCTGTTACTTGAAAAAAAAAGTTGATAATTTAAGGCAAAAGTAATCATGGTTGAAATTCCATCAAGTTCCATTTAAGGAATAGATTATGGAAGTGGAAAGAAAGGCAAAGAGTATGCATAAAAAATTGCTATGCGTCAAGAGGGAAATAACCCTGATATGATAAACCAGTTTCTTCAGAAGTTCTCAAGATTCTTGGATGTTACACATTCATTCCTCAGTCCTCATTACACAAACTTTCAAAAATGTCTTTTCTAGAGATCTTACATAACAGATACTGTTTGTACAAGAATGATCCAGCAAGTTATCTCCTTAATTTCTTATATCCAGTCCAATAAACTTGTTTTTTGGACAGAACGTAAAAAATATGTTAAAAGGGTACCGTATATGATGAACGAGTATTGTTGGTCGAGCACTATGATATTGTCCTCCAAATGTAACCTTAAATATCTTTTAGAATTATATAAATATGGTTAAAAAAAGAGGCCCAAAAGACAATGTTATTTATTAGAAAACTTCTAGTGGATGAAAAATTTTGAAAAAAATTGAGAGCACACATCAAATTCAAGACTTCCTTCAATATCTTTCTCTATTTTCTTCTTTTAACTTCAATTTCGTAATTCCAATCTGTTTTCCTCCTCCTGCTCCAATTAAAAAATCAATAATTTTATCTCATAAACTATAACGAACATGTTCAGTGTGTTTCAATTTCTTGCAATACAAGTAAAGTGCTTTCTCATGTTAAATCAGATGGTTTACGTTACCAACCTAATGCACAGAATGAGGAACACATTAAATTTATTCTTGATGCTGCAGGTTCTATGTATGTGATCTCATAGTCAAATATTTATTTCGACTTACCAAAGGTTGTTACACTGACATGTCAAAAAACATAAAGCTATGTATAATAATAAAGTAAATTCTAAACAATATTTCTATTAAAATAGTACAATTCTACAGTAGTGCTCAAACAACTGCATCACCTTTCTCACAGTTGTAATCTGCAATTTAATCCTGATAATACACCACTTGATTTGCAAAAATCAAGCGGGTAATGGAATCAGAAACATCATATAATACACATAAAATATATGATTACCAATTTCTACTAATATTCATTTAAAATTTTTGAGAGCAGATTGGATTAGGAAAATACAGAATGTCATGTGTAGGTGATGCATTTTTTTAGCACTACTGTATATACCAACTGAAATCCTAATGTTGTACAAAACATTCATGAAATTATAATTTGTTTAAAAAAACGATTATGTACTCTCAGAGTTACCTTGTAAAAATATTTCCAAAATCCAGTAAAAAAGTTTTAAATATTTGTTTTTTTTTAACTCGGTGCTCCATTTTCCAAGGTACAAATGCCAAATCAGGCAGCTGCTTTTCTTTTAGTTAAAGGAGAGAAAAACCCACTTTAATTATAAAAGTCAATACTCCTAGGGACGGAAAAATTGAAAATATGCACTAGCACCTCACTATGCCTCAATTTTTCCCCAAAAAAATTTCATCCTCTAGAAATTAAGAAAATAAATTAACACATGAAATTGGTCTTTTGTGCAAAATTACTATGCCTAACCAGTTGTAGCCTTTTTAAGGTCTTCATAATTGTGGGTAAGCAAAAGCAAATACATCTCAAAGTAGTTCAGGACCCAAGTACTAATACAAATGCTAGGTCTAATAGAGTTATTTAGCATTATAGCATTTAAAAACATATTTCAGAAAAATTGTGTAGCAATTACATGTCCAAAACTGGTCAGTCTCTCCCAAATACAAAAAATGTGCCCAATGCTTTGAACTAACACTGTATGGTGTTAGTTGCTTGGAGCCACAAAAAAATTCACTTTTTAACCTCACTTCTTCCCTTTCATTTCATAAAAAATGTTTTTTTTCTTGCATTCCACAAAAAGGTTAATCATTTGAAATGGATGAAAATAGCTTTGTAAATAATCAGCAATAAAAATGAAAACAAAAAAAGTTTTTTGGCAGACAATTTGAATTTTCTTACAGCTTAAACCAAAAAATTATGAGGGTAATCTCAAAAGCTATGCAGTTAGGATCGCCTCAAAGTTTCCACATACAGAAGTCCATAGTGCCATACGCTGCCTGAAAATGTCCCAGTGACTTCACAAACTCCACGAAGAATCAAATAGAACATCAGCTTATAAGAGGGTTTTACTTTCAAGATCCTCTTTTTTATATCGCCCTTCACAAATTTTGAAAAAAGTTTGACTTGGAAAACATGGATTAATGTAGTTTTAGTTTTTATAATATCATTTTTATTAATTACGAAATATTTGTTTTATTGTACATGTATAACTTATGATGTAAAATAAGACTTTTCCAATCTTAACAGACCTGGCTAAAAAAATTTTCCTTTTATTTTGTGAGAAAATGGGGACACCTATTCACTCTTTTGCACTGGATGCTTCCAAGCATCTATTTCAGGCTGTGTAGCCCACTGACAGAACAGTCTACTTATTAAATTGTTTTCTGTTTTTAACAAAATATTAGTTTTTAGTGGTTACTAAAATTTACTTTTGTGAGCAGAAATTTTTTGACTCTGGTTAGGTGAGATTTTAAACTGAAAATATAATACCAATATGCATGAAAAATTAATTTTTACTTACTTTAAAATTTTTGTACCATTAAAGAAAATGTGGATTGTTTGCATTTAAATTCACAAAACACATTTTCTCTCGAATAGCACCTCTAAAATAAAAATTATTTTGTGATTTTTTGGTTTAAGCAAGTTTACAAATTAAAAATTTTTACCAAAAACTTTATGTTTCTATTTATTCATTAGTATAAAAAAGTTTTATTTATTGAGTATATCAAAGCTGTTTTCATCTACTTCACTTTTTATAACTTCCACCGAACTTTTAACCCACTTACTTGGGGGCATTTTTACATTCTTAATCAGATAGTTTTTATTATTTTAAATAGAAGGAATTCATATGGTTAATATTAATAATTCAATTATCTACATTAATAAGAAATAAGACATGTGTTTTCATGACTAGAGGGAAAAAATTAAAATTTTATAGTACTTTACCACTGGCTAAATGCACCATGAATTTGCAAATTGTGAAATGTCAAAAACAGTCTTCTTCCTTGTTATCAATTAAAGTCAAAAGATATCCAATTCCTTTTGGATTTTTATTACCAAATTTCAGAATTTCCTTGAAATAACTAGTTTTCTTTTTCTGTTACACTGTGCTATTGAAATGTTTGTTTTACTACTGCATTTTATTGTCTTCACATCTTTTAGAAAACTACTTTTTCAATGCCAGTCAGTTGGAATGATTTGTGTACTAATCAATAATGCCATTTAACTTAAAGAATTGATGTAAAAAGTAAAACTAAGCTTATTAACATACAAAACATATTTTCATATCAAATATAACTAAATTATACAAATAATATGGAACCGAAAAAGCATTTACACATAAACATAGGAAATTATTTTATACAAGATGCACCTTGATTAAAATACTATTTAATGGCAATATTAAAATACAAAGAACTAATAATTAGAAAAAATAAATTTTGGTAACAGGTCAACAAAAAAACAATCTATTTAGTGATTTAAAATAGTTCTATCACATATATTTGACTCACTGCATTCCTTTCCCAAACCTCTTATATCATTACTTAGGGCCAGCTTCTGGAGATGCTGGAGTGGAAATAGTTTCAGTATCACCTTCTAGGTCAGGAAACAACCGAGTAAGAACAAAATATGCAACATCATAGTTGCTCCAATATGCTGTATGCGATGTCAGGGCTGATAGATAACTTCCTCCAAGATTAGATTCTCTTAAAACAAAATCTAAACGATGCTGAAGCCCTAGATAAAACAGACACAAAAATTACTAAAGTTAAAAATTGGAGCCATTTTAGAGAATATTTTGAAAATGTTCCAGGGGCTTTATGTAAAGTATTCCTAAAATTTAAAGACACTTTTTCAAAGTCGCAGGGCATCAGGTAGGGCAAGATCAGGAGGGGAATACATATTTACTTTGGAAAAAAATCAGATACTGCAAAGTTACAAGCAGTAATAACTAGCAAACAAGCATTGTATATTGAGAAGCAAAATTCTTGGTTGCTCCAATAATTTGATTCTGAATTTTAATTTAATTATTTTGAAAGTATACTTGTGATCTTCATACCTCCACTGAGTGGGTCGCACTGTGGAGATCCAGAGCCGTCCTGTGCCTTCCACGAGGCGCGCATCAGCCCCCACAGGCTCCACCCGCGCTCTGCAACAACATCCTCGATAAGACACTCTTCTCACAAACAACAAACTTCTGACAGACCCAAAACGATTTTCATGCTCGGTTTTTGACAGTGAAAGCATATATTTCCCGTGAAAACGTTCCGACTTCTGCGGGCACAGATAGTGCCTACTTGCCTGTCCGAGAGACGCCACAAACTAAGCACAGATACCAACATTTCAGCTGCCTTGTTGCGAGCTTCCTTAGGGCAGGTTTATAAAGCAGGAGGTTACCCTCTACCCGCGAGCCAGTCGGAGATGGATCGGTCAATGAAGCAACGAATCTCCTGGCCTGCGTGGTTGGCGTTGAATTCGTTAGATCGAAATGCGCCCTTCAGGTTCTCCATTTCATTGCCTAAGGATTCTTCACCCCGCAACATGTTCTGATAGCCAGGTTTTTACCCCTCCCCCGCGTAGTTGCCGGATGTTGGTGCAAGCCGACGTGCAGGTAACAGTTGCTGTGAGTAGATTTCATGACAACAGTACTCCTACACTGCTGTTAGTTTTGCGATTCACCAGCAGTTAAGGAAAGGTGATTTCCACTTCCATAATGGATTTAATTTGGGGGAAGGTTTTTGAGGTGCTAGAGAAAAACGATGGGGAATGAAGGCTGTGGGCCACACTACCAACGTCTCATCTACCTACCAGAGTCACAGTGTTGGTGTGAGGCACTCTCGTGGGTTTCTGTTTCGAAGGCTTCCAAGTTAGCCACCACAGGAGACAGTGGGGGGACCTAGGGCCGCCCCTTCTAATTGGGCATAGAATTGCTCACGGAATTGGAAAAATGTGGAATTGAGGAGGAACATCGGTAAGTCAGCTCAATTTGTTGTGAGCCTGCGAGAGTGAAGTCTGATGTTGCCTGTCGGAGGCTGCAGTTTGTCGGCCTCTCAGCGGGCAAAAGGGTGGGTGGGAGAGTTGAATTGGCAGTGGTGCGTAGGGCCTTTTGTATCTTCGGTAGACCATAGAGCCTTGGACAGAGTGATACCGAGTTTTATCCCAGGTTTGGCCTCCGATTCTTTGGCCACCGAGTTATTTACCAGTGTCGGAACCTCGTTCTGTATGAAGCTGGGCGCAGTCCATCTCCGCGCATTTCGCCTTACGCAGGTCTCAGCACGACGACCGAAACGTTGGCATCTATGCTTAGGACGCGGGTTCTCCCGGACAGCCAAGAAGCTACTTGATTTTCCATTGGTGATGATATTCATTTATGAAGATCAGATAAAGCTTTCAGAACATTTATTAGAGAGAAAGGCACGAATAACAGCGCACAATTTCTGGTCATTGTTGCCATAGCAAAGAGTTATTAAAATCCGGTACATAGAGCTCACAAATAACGCAAATTAAATTATGTTAATTAGGGTTTTGGCAAAGAAATGTAAACAAATTGATATATTGCTATAGTGCGTACTTTAACCCTAAACTATCGTGGAATCCTTTTTGACCTAATGCTGGTGATTTTCCGTATTATCCGAGACAACGTTTCTCTCACCTCTTCCGTGTTATCTCGTAAAAACTTGCAGGTATTTATATAGAAAGGAAATGGCTAATGAGCTTTACAAATTGAGTGCAATCGTGTGTTATGGTGAAACAAGATACCATGGTAGCCACATTACAATACTGAGTGGGGGTAACATTTCATCCAAAGAAAATTTGTCTTAGATGGTGGAGCGATTAATATTGACAGAGGGAATATGACATATCACTTCATTCATTCATTGTCAAAAATAAAAAATTGACTGCTAATAGACTGCCAGACGAAAGATGTTCAATCTGGCAAGGAATTAGATGAATCTGAGAGGAAGCGCTACAAAGATGTAGCATATGCCTAAAAAATAGGCATAAAACATTCGAACTGCTCAATGTGGCGACGAGGTCATCGGTAGACATGCCCGGAGTCTTTCTGTTGTGCATGTTTTTCCTTGTAGAATAAAATGGCACTACTTTAGAAGATGATTCCCTAAAAATCTAAGAAACATTATTTTAAACTAGTGGTGCCCAACAAATACTTTTTTGTATTATTTGTTTATTGGCTCTGCAATTTATACTACTCCAAGAACCTGCAAAAGTGTGTCGGTGCACGAATATGTCGTCGAAAAAAGGCTCAATCAAGACGTTTCCTTAAGAGCCAAGACCAAACAAAAGCTTGTCACATTCAATCAAATCTGAAGGATATGCTTAGTGTTTTCATGTAATTCTTTGCGTGTAGCCCCACAAGTTCTTGCCACCAGGTCAAAGAGCCAATAATGAACGCTACTTCTCGCGCGCTGTTTGCGTGAAGCATTCGGAAGAAAACGCCCGGATTAGTGGCAAAACAATTCGGGGTTGATACATCACGATAATGTACCTGCTCAACTTCACCGTTTGTTCGTCAATTTTTATTAAAAATTAACACTTGTGACTAGGGGATGCCTTGTAGTATGGCACTGAAAACATAACTTTTGCCACTTTTTTTTATTGCAAATCGGACCTACATCATTTTTGTAACAGCTATATTTCACGAACAAATCTGGAGAAAAAAAATTGGTGCCATTTTGAGAAAATTTCGAAAATGTACTTTCTTATAAAATGCCCGCAATAATAATTTTGTTATCCATCTGAAATTTAAGGTGCCACAACATCAATCATATTGATCTGAGAATATCAAAACTGATTAAAGTCTTGTGAATCGTTTAATTGCTAGGTAGTTTTGATCACAGAATGGCAGACGTTTTATCATAAACCAATTTTTCGGTATCAAACACCTACAATACGAGCTAACCTGTAAAAAAATTGTCAATTAACTAATTTTTATTGCATCGTTACAATATTTTCTCATTTACCTCCTACAGTATTAAATAGTTCATCTACTTTTACGTAGTCTACTACATAGTACTAGTAAATGTAAAAGAAGGAACAAAAAATTATCAACACGGAAAGTGTTGTGAAAGTGTAGTAACATGAATTGAGAACTGAAGATGAAGGCATGGGTTTGTATCGAGAACTAAAAACTAAGGCTGGCTTAAGAAAAATTTTGTGAGGATTATATTTTTGCATCTCCTGACAAGTCAGCATTATGTAAACACCTATGTTCATTCTCAGATTCGCCATTCGCATCCAGTGGATTAACACACTTTGGGGACCCCAAACTAGACTGGGGAGCTTGGAGGAACATACATTGTTCGTTCCAGAACGAGCCGGGTAAATTATTTGTCAAAAAAGAAACTGGAAATTTACCTTTGCTCGGTGTTCCACTTGGAGTAGGAGTCTCCGAATCTGATTCACTTTCTTTCTTGAGGGAGCTTGTTGGAACTGCAGATGCACCAGCTGTAGCGGCCATATTTGCTGCGGCAGCTGTTGATGATAGGGATAAAGAAGCAGGATCTAAAACTAAAGGTTCTAAGGGTAAAGAATCATAACTTGGGTGTATTCCTGCATGGTAGGCCTGAATTTGAATAGGGGCAATACGACTGTATTCACGAACAATAAGTGGCTCCATCCTGAAAGAGAAGAAATATGTTTTATATAGTAAATACAAATTTTTCCCCAAAGACATATCAAATAAAACTAGTGGTGCTACAACAGCAAATACTTTCTTGCATTATTGGAAACAGCTACGTAATATTGAAGTATTGCATTTTCTGCGCTATTAACACCTCAGCTATTACTTGAAAACATCCAATTCAAACAAAGCACTTGTGATGTATATTTGCATTCATTTCGATAGTCAGGAGTAACTATCTCTCCTTACTTTGACACATGAAACAAATAGGAATACTTGACCAATACAGTAATCACAGGAAATTATACAGAAAAGAGCAATCCATCATAGAGTTGCCAGCGTATCGTTGCCAAAATTATGTGTGTTTGGCGAATAATATCAATTCTTTGCAAAAATGCTTACTTCCATTTGTATTCAATTACAACTTTCTTATCGCTTAGTCATAGTACATCATACACAGTTGATAAATAACCAATACTAACGAACAAATTAAATTACGAATATTCTACGACTTGTAATATTAAGTTAATTGTTTACCGCCTTTTATACACTATTGATGCCGTCTCAAATAAGTGCACGAAAATAAAACTTTAAGTTAATATGTTCGTTACATTGACCACGGTGAAGTACCCCCAAAAATACTTTCAATGAAAGTAAAATATGTTCTTCAAGGTACGAAAAAGCATTTGACCCTTACTGGTCTATTTTTTTAATAAAATAAGTTTAAATTAGTACAGGCTCTTATGGAAAATCTTCGGGGGGCGTAGTTTTCTTTAAGCTATTGAAGAAGTTATACGGTTAATGTATTTTTTTTATTCAATACGCAGTAAATGTTTTATGGATCAGTAATATTAAATGGTACGTAACATACCTCACCCCGTATTCTGAGGAGTTATTTATAAAAAAAACTGCAGCGATATTAGTCGCAAACGGAAGTACTGGCTTATACTTTCACATGTAGTGTAATTGTAGCACCACGTACGCATTTCTAGATCATGAAACTTCATGAAATTGCGTATTTTTAACTGACTGCATTTCGAAAAGAAATGTATATAACTTTAACTACCATTAAAAATAAAACACAAATGGTCCATTTATGGTTTGCATAATTGCATATTCTTGGATTTTTTCATTAACTGCATATTTTTTATTTATGTGGCATGTTTAGTAGCATAATTCCAGGATTTTCAATAGGAGTGGGCTCAAGTGAGACATTTTCATTGCCTAATAACTTTTTTGTTGATTATAATGTTTGAAAATAAATTTTTACTTCACACGTTTTGTAATACAGTGTAAAGATTTATATAAATATATTTTATCTGTTGCTCATTATATTTTTATTTAATGTATATTCTAAGTTTAAAGCACAAATATTGGCTATTACAAGCGCATAGTCGCATGCCTAATTTTAACACTTTTAGTGCATTAAGTTCCGGGGTCTACTTATGACAAATGGTAGAGCATTTGGAGAGAAAACTGAATATTTTGAAGCAAATATCAACACAAGGCTAATTTGACAATTATAACTCCTTTTCATACAGCTCAATCATGTCACATCAAAGAGATGTAATTAACAATAATTCGCCATCGCGTCGCGGAATTCCTTTGTTGCATTCCCTGCACTGATGATACACCATGAAAGCTAACAATTTTAATTTTAATTTTGTAAATTTCATATATGTGTAAATTAAATTTTAAAAGATTAATGCGTAAAAGTATAACAAAAAAGTCAAATGTAAGAACGAAAAAAATAAATATTAAATAATTGACAAAAACTAACTCACGAAACATCCAACTGACTGGAATTGTTCCCGCAGCGCAGAAAATGGCAGTGAGCGATTAATTTTATTTTCACAAAATTACACAAAACATACACATATTTTAACAACTTCAGTTTGTTTTTATTTGAAGATCTATTTTTGATAAACGCAAATCATTAAAAAATTGTATTATCAGATTTGAACTTACAAGAAGATGCCAAAGACAAACCACAGTCCATTCAAGCGGGCTATTATATTTGTAAAGAAATTACACTAAATATACTAATATTTTCAAAAAATTCAACATGACCTTTCTTGAGGTCATGTGATATTGAATTCATGACTTAACCTTACGTGGCGAGACTAATAGTTCCAAAATGAAACGCTTGAAAACAAATAAAGCACAAATCTAGAAATTCGGGCAAAAAAAGAGGAAAAAACCTAATTTGGTAGTATCTATCTGAAAATTCAAATGTAAGTAAAACTCAAGACGAAAAAATCAATGCTGCAAAGCATACTTCAATCCAACTATTAATTCCGAAAATATACGCTTGAAAACAAGTGAAGACAAAATACCGAAATTCAGGCAAAAAATTGGGAAAAACTTACTTTGGTAGCATCCATCTAAAATCACATATGTAAGTAAAACTAACAACGAGAAATTCAATGCTGCAAAGAAGACGCGAATCCGACTATTAATTTCGAAATTATACGCTTGAAATCAAATGAGCCCAAATCCTGAAATTGGGGCAAAAATGGGGAAAACCTTAATTTCGTAATTTAATTCTTAAATCACGTATGTAAGTACAACTCACGACGAGAAATTCAATGGTGAAAAGCAAACGCGAATCCCACTATTAGTTTCGAAATTATACGCTTAAAATTAAATGAAGCTCAAATCTTGAAATTGGGGAAAAAATTAGAAAAAACTTAATTTTGTGATATAATTCTGAAATCACGTATGTAAGTACACCTCACAACGAGAAATTCAATGGTGCAAAGCACACGCGAATCCGACTATTAGTTTCGAAATTATACGCTTGAAATCAAATGAAGCCCAAATCCTGAAATTGGGGCAAAAAATGGGAAAAAACTTAATTTCGTAATATAATTCTGAAATCACGTATGTAAGTACAACTCACGACGAGAAATTCAATGGAGCAAAGCAGACGCGAATCTATTAGTTTCGAAATTATACGCTTGAAATCAAATGAAGGCTAAATCCTGAAATTGGGGCAAAAAATGGGGAAAAACTTAATTTCGCAATTTCATTCTGAAATTACGTATGTAAGTACAACTCACGACGAGAATTTCAATGGTAGAACGCAGACGCGAATCCCACTATTAGTTTCGAAATTATACACTTGAATTCAAATGAAGCCCAAATCCTGAAATTGGGGCAAAAAATGGAAAAATAACTTAATTTCGTAATTTCATTCTGAAATCACGTATGTAAGTACAACTCACGACGAGAAATTCAATGGTGCAAAGCAGACGTCAATCCGACGATTTGTTTCGAAATTATACGCTTGAAGTCAAATGAAGCCCAAAACTCGAAATTGGGGCAAAAAATGGGAAAAAATCTAATTTCGTACTATGTATCTGAAATGACGTATATAAATACAAGTCTTGACTAGAAAATACTTAAGTTTTTTGCTTGTAATGTTTTTTATCTGCAAATATATTTTACCTATTTCCACACAAAAATGTTTGAATGTTGATTCATTAATGTTGTGGAATTTTAATACTTAGAATAACTTACAGCAAGAATTCTCTATTTAGATCCCTGATTACAAATTAAATATATCGCTCACCTGTATGCTACAGGATCAGATGGATGGAAAACGTTATAAAAGCGCTGACACAAACTTGCAGGTAAAATGTTTCGTTCTGGATTTCGCCACCGCAGAGCTAGGAACACAGAGAGAGGTGACCCCAGGCAGAACATGTTCTCTATCTAAAAATGAGAAAAAAGTTTGTATGACATTAATTACTCAGTGTGTCATGCAACTAATTATAAATCAATCAATAATTTAAAAAATTCTTAAGGGAAAAAATTAAAAAAAACAAACTTGATAGCAATGTAAGAGAAATGAAGTACAATTGGAGAGAAAGAAATGTAAATGAATTCTCAAATAGGAAAACTAAAACTAATGGCGCTACAGAACGGCACTGACTTTCTCGTAATAGTTTTCTTATTTCATTTGGTTTCATAACAGAACCGAAATATTACTTTAAAATATTAAAGAAGAGTAAACACTGCACCCAAAAAGGTAATGTTTGTTGAGAATTTGGAGTTTTTGTGAAAAAGGCGATTAGACGTAACTGTAAATGCGAAATTTGAAGGTCTTTTTCACAGAAAATTGAATTTTGGAAGATCTTTGTTGAAAGTCATTTGAAGCTCTTCTATTCACAAATAGGATATTGTATACAAATTGCTGGAAATGTGCGTAATAACGTGAGAGCAATTTCGAAAAGTAATCGTGTAATTTTTGTGCTTCATTTTAATTCAATTTCCATTCAAGCTGCAAACCACCTGGGATTCATTGTTGTGTTGCAGTGCGACGCAGGGCGCGGCCTCAGAGAACTTGGAGAGCGAGAGAGAGTGAGGGAGAGTGAGGGAGAGTGAGAGAGAGTGAGGGAGAGAGTGGGAGAGAGAGTGAGAGAGAGTGAGGGAGAGAGTGGGAGAGAGAGTGGGAGAGAGTGGGAGAGAGAGTGAGAGAGAGTGAGTGAGAGAGTGAGTGAGTGTGAGAGTGTGAGAGTGAGAGTGAGAGAGTGTGAGAGTGAGAGAGTGTGAGAGTGTGAGAGAGAGAGTGAGAGAGAGAGAGTTAGAGAGAGAGAGAGTTTGAGAGAGCGAGTTAGTTAGTTGCACTGCAAATGTTTAGGCACATACAATCGCACGTGGAGATTATAAAACCCACATCCAATCCTCTCTGAGAGAGATGGAAGATTGAACGTCGGGATCAGAGTGTCTCCCATGCGCTCCCTTCCTTTTGATTCTGAACACCTCCATTAATTCTTGACTTAAAGAGATGTTACTCACTTTCAGGTGCAAAATCATACTGATCACCACTCACTTACTACGGCATATATTGACTCCACAACTCCTAGAACCACCCATTCCCATTCCCTTTGATGCGGGTTGCCATGGATGACAAACACATAGGTGGGCGTTCAGCATACAGAGAAGGCCAGTGATGATAAAAAAGAGGAGATTGATAGAGACATATGTGACAAATGAAATAAAAAGCATGATGAAAGATGGAGAAAAAAACGCTTGAGAGTCCCTCTGCATCACGACTGTCATAGGTGACATGAAATGAAAAGCAAGATGAGAGATGGAGAAAGGAACGCTTCTCTGCATCCCTTGTCAAGACATGGACCAAATCACCTTGAGGTTTAGGTTTGAAAATATTATTTTATAGAATTAACTTTTCCCTGATGCATTCATCGCTTTAAATAGAGATTTTTTCTTTCCCAATATTGAAATGTGTAACATGAACATCAAATGAATGAAAGATCAGAAAACCATATTTATTTGAAACAAATTAGAAAGAAAATACCTGAAATAGCAGTCTGCTCTCATTAGAACTTGTGTCACTCAATTTTCCTGAGCCATGGTGTTTCTCTGAAGTTGTTGTAGAACCTGATGAGGGAGTCAGGAAGATCTGAAAAGAATAGAACACATTGTAATGAATTTACATTTATTTTTATTTATTACATACAGTCCCTGTCCATATTAATGTGACCATTTTTCATTTTCTGCATTTCGCCGTTTTGTAATTCCCTGGTAGTGTTTGCTACTGATATCTTAGAAACGATCCTTTTGAGGAACTTTATCTTGTGAAGGAGGTTAAAGTTCCAGGGATTGTATAATACATTACATCACATTGATTCATCTTAATCACGGATTGTGGTCCCAGATACCGAACCCAGAGGTGCTGCAACAGCACATTCATTCTCGCGTTATTTGAAACTGTTCACATCATTTCCGAGACATCTTACAGACAAGCAAGGATAATCCAAGCATCCCGAACTTAAGGCCATCCAATGTATTGCATTCAGTAGTGAAACGAAATGAGTGGGGGCCCATCTGCAAAACTTTTATCCAGGCTCTCTTTTTAAACATGTATACAAACACAAGTAGCTAGTACATTAAATTATAAAAATGTCCTTTAACAAAGCCCATATTCATCAGTCTGTGATTACTACACAGACAATTGCCTCTCTCTCTTACCCAGATCTGCCTGCATTGCAATCCCAAACGTTATGCCACTGATCACATTCAGAATGCATTCAAAACTATGTTATCATTACCATGTATATAAAATCTGTGCGAGAACTTCACTCTGAACATTGAAAGAATTATTGAACAAAAAACTCTGTCAGTGATAAAAAAATTGTTTAATAAATTGATTCATTTTTTATTTATAGTTGCATTGTTATATTTACTTCTGCAATTTCATGTTTTGAATAAATGGTTATAATTGAATGTCAAATCCAATACTGTAATGTTAAAAAGCGTGTTTTATTTGTTGGTATCATCTAGTATTTAGTTAAAAAAAAAAGTCAGAAAGAGACTAATAGGTCTGACAGTGCCAGCAGTCTCCACTATAAAGTCTCCCAGGTTGCATTGTGAGTAGCCCTGGGAGCAACTGTTATCCGGCACCACAGTGCACAGCAGGGTGTGCAAGGTGTGCATATGCTACTTGTGCTTCTGAGGTGCACACATGTGTGTTCACCTTCAATCTGAAGTTAAGGGCATGCTAGGCATGCAGGGAAGATAAATATAGCACTCGTCTAAGCACGATATAGTGCAAGCATACGTGATATTTTTGTTAACTCTTAATTGAACCCCCTTCTTTTTCAGGCAAGATTCAATGATCAATTAAGACCTTGTAAATCTGTAACACTATTCTCACCATAATCACCACAACTAGTTTCACTGATAAACAAAAAATATATCTGAATACACTTCAATGTATTATTAGTAAATCATGCTATGCAGAGTACATACCCAAGAATCAGGTCGCCAACCAGTGACAATATCATACACAATAACGCAACCTAGAGAGTGCGCTACCACAGACACTTTGCCGCCGTTGGCAGTAAAGTATGGATTTCGTTGAGTAAACATAGTATACAGTCTGTTTAGTTCAGCTGACAAGCCTTGTTGGACCTGGACACAACAAAATCATAATTATTAATTTACTAATTATTATTAAATAATTATTACTTTACTTTAATTAAATTAAATTATTAATTTTTAATATTAGACAATTAGGAGTGGTTTTTGTGATTTTTTTTTTTATACTGCTCATATCTTTCTCAAAATTGTGTGAAAACTATTACAAAATTTAACAAAACATGTACATACATTAATGAAAGAGTTAATTGTGGAGGCCAAATTTTACTTGAAGAAAAAATCTATCTTTAATATTGTAGTTGTAGAAACAGAGTTTAAAAATTGATAGATGCAAAATAAACTTTACAGCTGATGAAGTCCCAAGATGTAATTATTACAAAGTCATGAGACAATTGTTGCAACTCTGGAAACGAATCTACTAGCTGGGAAAGTAATCAAAGATCATGATGAATTTTGTGCATTATATCCCATTAACTGCTCAGTGCACATTCTCCAAAAATTAAAAGAAGAAAAGGGTTAAATAAACTGTGGATCAGCAGAAAAATCCTTAAACAATCCAGGATGAAACGTCACACATGGAGTAAATATAAAAGAAATGATAGGGATGTGGATTATACAGCATATGAAGTAATTAATAATGATCTTTCACAAAAAAACATGACGACAGAAAGAGAAATATAAAGGTGTTATCCAAGAGGGAACTAAATCTTTTTACTCTCACACAACTGGAAAAACAAGCATACCTTTATGCATGTAGGTGAGAGCAGAATTAGTAGCAGAATCTCAAAGATTTGCTGAAGCATTTACAGACTCCAAGAGGTATATACATCTGAACTAAACGAATCTCTTCCAACAATTGAAGCAAGACTAGGTGAACCGATAGAAGATTTAGGCATCTCATGTGTTACTGTCCCTCAGACGATGTATCGACTTTGCAAAAATTCAGCAGCAAGACCAGATGGAATTCCTAGTTTACTTGAAAAGGTGCGCTTTACAACTAGCTTCCATCCTGTCAGAGACGTTCAGGAAATCATTAGAAACAGATACATTTTCTCAACAACGGAAGTCAGCTATAGCCACCCCAATTGATAAAAAGGGCATTAAGCAATTGCCACGAAACTACAGGCCTGTTAGTTTAATTAGTAATGTAGGAAAGGTAGTGGAGAGATCGATGGCATGAAATTTGATGAAGAACGCTCTTGACAATGACATTGTTTCTCAATAACAGCATGGCTTCATTCTTGGAATATCAAGCACGACTAACCTACTCAGCACCCCAGATGTTTGGACTAGGCTATTGATGAAGGAAACCCCATAGATGTCATTTATTTAGATTACGTGAAGGCTTTTGACAAAGTTCCACACAAGAGACAGTAAGGAGGGGATAAAGTACCACACAAGAGGCAATAAGGAGGCTGATAACAAAACATGAGTCCATAGGAATCAGGAGAAAATTACTTCACTGGATCCAGGAATACTCAACAAATGGATTGTTCCAAGTGCATATTGGTGATGCCCTCTCTGGACCATCAATAGACCAATCATCAGTGGTGTTCCTCAAGGATTGGTTCTTGGACCCATCTTATTCGTTCTATGCAAGTATGACTGGGGAAGAGATTTGAAATCAATGTGGAACTCTTATGCAGATGATACCAAGTTTTATGGAAACCTGATATTGTTTCATGATGAAATTCAGAGAGACTTGAACACTCTAGAGGGATGGCCAAATACGTGGCTGCTTTCCTGGAATAGCAATGTGTGAGGTCCTTCACTTGGGTAGAAACAATCCTAGATTCCATTATATGACACAGGAACAAACATTAGCAACCACAACAAAACAAAATGATTTGGGAGTAGTTGTGAGACAGTATTAGAAATGGGAAAACCAAACGGCGAAAGTTCCCAGAAAGACAAATTTCACACTCTACATTATATGAAGAGTTTTCTTCAAACTAAAATCTATGGAGATTTTAGTTAAGAAGATCTATATGACGTATTAGACAAATTGTGGAATATGCCTGCCCAATTTGGTCTCCATATTACAAGAAAGATATAGGCTCGCTAGAGAAACAAAAATTGTTGTAGATCTTCAGAACTTGGATTATGAAACAAGATGCCATGAGATGTCCATTATGACAATGGAGTTGAGAAGGCAAAGAGGGGATCTTATCGAGTCTTATAAAATCCTCAATAAGGCTTATGACATCCATCTCTCGAAGATTTTTTTGAAAGAAGCCTGTACGGTCTTCAAGGACACAGCTTAAAAATAAGAAGGGAGCAGACTAGAACTACGCAACAAGACAATTTCTTGAAATACAGAGTTGCCAACGCATGGAGCAAATTACCTGCAGAGAGTGTTTCCCAGACTTTAAAAACATCATTTGCAACTTACTTGGATAAATATTTGTTAGGGACATGAATTAATCTTACTACAACTTTTCCTTCTATTCTTTTCCTTTTATTCTGAAATCCATTGTATATGCTCATTACATATTATATACTATTATTTCCCTTAGTTATCTCATACAAATATGTACAATGAAAATGATACAAACATAGCCAAAAAAAGAAGCCAAGCCAAAAAAAAGAAGAAAAAGAACAATTGGTATTTTCTGAAATTTAAGTCTTCCTGTACACACTGTACTCACCCACTCTCTGCTTACGATTTAATACCTTCCATTTTAAATACATATTTTCACACAGACGCCATATCTCTAACCTAAAAACCTCTACACACGGACCAATTTGTTGGACGAACCATTGATGGAACAAAATAGGAATCTCAGCAACACACTGTCTGACCAACAACCGGATTTTTCAGAACTATCAGAATTTTGACAAGGTAACATATATGTGATCATGACTGAAATCTGAGGACTCAAGAGCTGTTGTCGGAGTGTTGCACATTTAACTTTCTGTGTGTATATATGAATAAACTCCAGAAACTCTAACCTCTGGTATATATCCATCATCATTAGAGATAAAATGTTTTGGTTTTTCAGAATTATTGTTACTGATTGTTCAATTATTTAGAAATACGCTGAAATCAATTCAGTGTTCGCAGGGAAATTATTCTAGTTTAAATAATGACTGAAGGCACATTTCCTAATTGTAAAAATCTTCTGATTCTTAAAAGACATGTTCAATTTTTTTTAAAATTTATTTTCTTTAACTTTCACTAGACTACATATACGAGAATGTAATAACTGATTATTAAAATATCACACAACTCATACAAACCTCAGAACCATATAATGGGCTGGTATAGTACATTATGTCCATGGCACTTGCATTTAAAAGCTGTCGCAAACCCAACAATTTGTGAGGAGTTATAGCATCTACAACATCTGAAACAATTTGCAGTGATTTTCAAATAAAACAATGAATTTCAAAACTTCATGAAATAAGAACAAATACCTTTTAGTAAGGACGCAAACACTGAAATAACTTTTTGATATCATATTAAACAGCAAAAAGCAGAAAATCTCAATATTCTAAAAAGTAAGAACATAATATATATTCTAAAACATTATGCAATAGTAAAACATTGCCTAATACATGTTACCCAGCTGTAGCATGTGAAGCAAAACAGGGATTGTGAAACAGAGAGAGATCCAAGGGAGGGGGTACCATCGCTCCTGCAGAACCAATATTTTTATAATAATTTTCCTCAATGTACTCTTCAAAATGATTGTCACATATTTAAGCCTGAATGGACAAAGGGGCAGATTGAAATGTGCCCCTTTGTAATTAATTCTTACTGAAATCTTTGTAATTTCACATATGCATCTGAAACCTAGACTCTGACCTAATTACATAAATTAGCAAGACTGATGAAGCTATGAAACTAGCAATGCATTAGCAAGGCTGATGATTTTACATCCTATGCAAGATCAAAATCCAAACAAACGTATAAAGAATAGAAAAACCAAGAAATTTTAAGAAATGGTTTTGAAATACTCTGTAAATGAATGGATAAAGCATTAAATGGCTAGGACATGAACAACAAAACAATAATTATAACTCGGAAAAATGTATGTAATGGCTTCAACATGCTGACCAAAATAATCATGATCTGTGCTTACCACGAACTTAAGTTACTCAATAAAAATAGAGGAAAAGTGAGAATATTAGAAAGCGCACGAATAATCCCGGAAGCCAAGACTATAAAGTGGTTATAGAGTTAATGAAAAGGAATAAAATTGTGAAACACTATTTAACACCAAAGCTATATGGAAAACTTTAATATATATCTAGTATTTCATTAAATATTCTACATATTTCCAAATCTTACCACCATCCAGTGTTAATGAGGAGCGCCATTCTACTGGGAAAAACTCTGCTCGATGAGCCATTGTTGAAAAGTACTTCTGTTTCAACCATGTCACACAATCACGAAAACTAAAAACAAAGCAAAACAAGAATTATTATAATAAAAATCATCATCACGAAATCATGACTTTTCATGCATTCAAGAAATATGCTTTATTTCTTATTACGTCTATTAAAATTTTGCTACCCTGTCTACTAAAATATTGCCAATTTTGTATTTGTAATGGGTAAATACAATTAATAAAACAATTTAAATACACATATAGAAACATTATTATTTAATGTTACACAAGCACAAAAATATTGATTTCCACATTTAAGTTTAGATATGATGAGTATGTCAAGTGACATTCTATCTCAGAACAGCTTATAACAAAACCCATTGAAAAGAAAATGTCTGGTGTTACTGAACGGAACTGACTTTCTTGTACTAGTTAGTTTTCTAACTTCTTTGGTTTGGTTACCTTTTCGGTCTTGTCGAATCCTCTTACAAGCAGCCATCTATCACCAAAGTACTAAACCACTAACCGAAAACCACTAGAATTGTCAAAAAATCTACAAGACCTTTAATGAAAGAATTCACTATATAGATCAAGTTTCGTTTGAAGGAAAAATCTCTATTTTCAATTTTGTGATTCTAAGGACACCAAAAAAATTTCAAACCGTTGCAATTATAAAAAATTTATTGTCAAAAATAAAAAAAAAAAAAGACATATACCACCTTTATAAATGAATTTTACTCTGTTCTTAGAAGAAATTTAAAGATAAAATTTGGACTAAATTTTGAAAATGCCTCAGGAAGAGCATGTAACGTACCCCCCCCCCCCAAATTAAAGAAAGTTATTCAAAATCACAGAACTTCAAGTCAAGTCAGATCGACCTGGGAATATCCACTATGGAAAAGATTCTATGAATAATTTAGGCACTAGCAATGTTCACACATGGACAGATGGATCTTTTGACATAAAAAAACAACAACACTTTCTTGGTTTCAGGGGACCGCAGACATGTATTTCAGTTTAAGTATCAAAATCAATTTTCCACAGCATTACATACCTCTTTCTATACTACACATGTTATTCCATACATACATACATACATACGTATATGAGAAAATAAACTCAGATTACTCCAAACTAATTATGACTGAAGTCTACTATACAGTACAACATCGGAAGTCGTTTAAACTGACACTTCGCACAGCTCCGACAGTAACTGCGCAGTTTGAAATTTGGAGGCTTTATTCAGAAGTGCTTTCTTGTAAAGATTTGGTAATTATGCGGTGGATAGACTCAAGGATGGTTGTAGTGAATGCAAGGATTGAAGGCTCGATACTTGCCGTAACTTGGATCCGGGCGAGAGAAGCGACAAAACTTTCTGATTAAAGTAAATTGGCATTACAATGCGGCAGAGTCATAGCGTATGAAGGGTAAGCCATGAACATAGTCTATCCATAAGTTTTATTAATTTTTATCAGAGTGCATTGCGTAATTTGAGGGCTTAAGGAGACCCCTCCCCTGCCTCCACACTTCTCTGAGGGTGTACCGTTTACCCTACTTTAACCCTAACCTTTGCTGCTTTGTTGAATACTGTTCATTTTTCTTATTCAGGTCAAAAACTTTAAAATTACATGAGGGTATAAGATTTTTACCTCCAGGAAAGTAGAGTGTGCAGTGCACTCAATTTTATACGTAGATTATGAATATCACAATAAAACAATCTATCATGTCACAGTTTTTAAATATACCATATCTTTATATATTTAAATATACCATATCATACCGAATTATGCTATGCATGCAAATATATTTAAATTGTCCCTGCACGATATGTAGAATCAATAGGCATAAAATCTATTTGAAAATAAAATATTTGTTCAGTTCATCTATACTACTTTTGTAGTTGCCATCCATTATGAGTAGGTCTTGGTATGTGTTTTGAAAACAAGTCATGTGCACCCTCATATTTCCTACTGCACTTAAGTCCCAAAAGGAATTATTTTAGCCCCTTACTTTATTGCAAGTGTACAAGAATCCAAATAGTAGGGTGGTAGATTCTGAGTCAGTCGGTGTAATGCAGAACTGTACCTGCTGTACGTGTGTCAATGTGTGTATGCCTCAAATACATTAGTTCTGTGGGTTATAAAAAGTGAAATTTGCCACATGATCTGTTGTACTGAATCGGTTTGATAAAAAGTAAATCGTCATTTTACGTTGAAAATGTGTGAAACAACCTGATAACTTCTGTTATGTTTGTGGAACATCCAAACTTCAAAGGAAAAAATATATGAAATTACAAAACTTGCACATTCTTTATACTTCAGCTGCCGTGTCAGCAATGAGGACAAACCATGGCTGCTCTCCAGTGTTCTAATAACAATCTAATAACTGCATATTATTGCACGAATGTGTGTAATCAATTTTTTTGTTCTTACCTCATAAAGCATGCTCATAAAATTTTGTAGTAATATAACCGGAGTGACAATGCGGAAATTAGTATGAATGTTGTTTATTTCAAATAACAAATATGTTCATATCTTTGAACCTTGTGTAATAGAAACTTTTTATAATGATTTTCGAAATCAATGTGATCATTTCCTTCAGAATTACCTACTTTCATACTGGAGATATACATTTTTTTGTTCCCTCATGTTATTAAACGACAACAAAAACAAACAAATTACAATATTATATTTCATCAATGTTCCCGCCTGAGAAAGAATATAATATTCTGGAGAAACCCATCATATTACTCCCAGTCTTTTAGATTAAAAAGAATTGTACAAATAATACGTAAATCTCTTTCATGAAATTCTTGCAAGCCTCGCTCTATTAAGCTAGAAGTTCTAATATTGCCATAACTTTTTTTTTTATAAAAAAGTGTATTTTGTCAAAAATTACTTGCTCAAAGGAACATACTTTCAACCAATACATATGCCTATAACTGTGTTACTCAATATAGTAATCATATTCATCAGATGCAAGTATCAACAGCTCACTACAAAAAATAACTTTCAATACTTGTACATTATTTTACATCACACAGACAGTTTACATTACAAAGATTAAAAATTATAGACATGCTGAAGTGCCTGCTAAAATCTTTTCTGCTTCATAACTGTTTCTATACAATTACAGAATATACTTTTTTTTAACAGTGATATTCAATGTATTAGTTAACATTTGGAAAATTGGACTGTCCTATAATTCTAAAAGACTAATTATGCCTGTAACAAGAATTGTACCTTAGCTTTTGGGTCAATGATTCCCATGTCAATCAAGTTTTTCTACCAATTTCCCAGACTCTTCCAGCAAATGCTCAGATAGCACCTTGTTTTCCTTCTGGATGTAAATGTAGCTTCACTATATGTGAAAATTTTCCTAAGCTCTGTGGGGATGTAGATATTCAAATAAAGAGACCTGTTTTCTTGTTGCAGTAAGCTGATTCCTTAATGTACAACACCAAGGGCTATGGCCAAAATCCAAAGCTGATTTGCCTTTACAAATAGTTTTTATTACTGGAGTGAATATATTCATACCTTCTTGCAGAAGTCACTTGTTGCTATATGTATTCATAATTCACCTTAATATAAATGCCTTAGGTCACAGATCCCAGAGCTCAAGAAAAATGTGAAAAGATTGCAGTTCTCCACGTAATACATCAGTTTTTAACTGTTTTTTGGTGTTAAATAAATATACAAATAATACATGAGTAGGTATACATTTTTCACAAAAACCCGTATCATCACTGTGTTCTTACAAAACATAAAGATCCTAAGTTAGCATCAATACTTCCTCCATGTTTCGTACCTTTCTATTTAAGAAATTTTGATACATTAGGATAGAGGGCAAAAAGAATGTAGGTAAAATGAAAGTTCCACAGATTAACAGACATTACTTCTTAACTTAACTCGTATTGTGGTGTATAAAGATTACACTTTCATAACTTACCTCGAAGTATTGCGAATTATACGGCCAGTATCCATTTTCTGACCTATACCATGTATTACAAACACTAGATGATTAATATCCACAGGCCTATCTGTTTGTGTGGCATGTTCCTTATAACCTCGATAAAGTCGATAACCAGTCGCTAGAAATAAATTCCAAACTTCACTATGATAATACTAATACAAATGATAATAAGAAACAAAATTTCAACATAAACAATGCTTCTTTATGTAACCCATATATGCCTAAGTGTTACGTTTTCATATTGCACATTCATGACAGCTTTCCAACAATTCTAACAAACAAGCACCAAGATTGTTTTTTTCATTGTTGAACATTCTGTAATGATTAAAGAAGGTTGTAGATTAGCTCTCTAGAAAAGTGCAATAACAATAAATGTGTCAAAAAGTGAAGGGACATTTCAGTTCAGTTGGGGATGTACGGTCATGTTGAGTAAAAAATAATTAGGGGCCATTGATAAATTATGTAACACAAATTCGGAACATTTTATGTATCCCCTATCTCCCCTACAATGTGAACTTTAACCACCCCCCTAAATAATTATGTAACATTTGGGAACCTCATCCCTACCATTTACAAAAAGGAAAACTGAATTGTATAACAATGAAAACAATTTGTATTAATTGTATTGTGATATATGTTAATATTTTTGAACAAGAATTAAGTAGCGATGCAGGCTGCAGCTAACAATAAGATTGGGGGACAATTTTTAAGGAAGGAATCATTGGCTAGCATATTACTGACTAATCCACATCAGGAGGACAAGAATCTCATGCGTCAATTTAAGTATTCTAGATTACACTGTAGATTAGATTCAAATATTTTCTTCATAACCAAAGATTCAATCAATATATCATAAATGAAAATGTATTTTTAATTATTGTGAACATTTATATATAACTTTTTAATTTATTAACTTATTAATTTGCTATTATTTTATTGTTTTAGCGCAAGAATGAATAAAAGAAATTATTCCAAGCATTGAAAAATAAGAAAACAATATCAGCATAACGCAACACTAAATCTAACACCCCCTACCCCACTTCCTCACACCCCTTCCCCCTCTCTTAAGCATTATGTAATTTATGGAAGACTCCATTGTTTTTGTTTTATCACGCATTTATAAATTTTTAATTTTTATATGAAACCTTAAACATACTTTTGAGTTGTTATATTTTATTTTTTTGCAAAACTAAGAACATAAAATATCATTTCCTTGTAGTTGGTCTTTTTAGGTTTTCCAAAACTATTTACGTCAAAGGAAATACTTGATAATCTTCACGATCTGGAAGATAATGGATCTCAAGTTGGCTGGTAGCATGAAGGTCTTCTTAGATCCTTTGGATATTTGAAGTGATACAAATAGAAGATATTGGGGGATGAAGATGGAGAAGGAACATTGAATCAAATTTGAATTCCCATCCGCTTTGTGTTACTTCAGAATTGGTGACACAGACACAACACAAAGATTATTACAAGTTTATGAAAACAGTCATATTTAAACTGCAAGTAATTATTGGCTAGATGAGTCTATGGGAATTAGAAAGAAAAACAAAAAACATTTTATATAGAATGATAGCTCATGTCACATTACAAGGCATACACACTTTCAATGAAGTCACATGATTTATGAAGAAGAAGGTAGTAAATCTCTCAGACACATTTGGCAAACATTTTCTTTTTGAACATGGGTGGGACAGATGGAATGGATCAGAACGTATCTGCTTACAGATCCAACAAACAATTGAAGAAATGGCAGTCTCCCAATTTTCTGTGGGAGTATTTTATAATTGTGCTTTGCTCTTTCATAGATTAAGAGCTGCCACAAAATCTGTTATTTTAGAACTATTAGAAATTTGAGGAAGGTTATCTCTAAAAATACTGGAGAGATATACCTTTTCAAAAAGAAAACATGGCCCTGTAAAAACTACTGCATCATACACAATATCTCTAGGTTCTTGAGTTTCACAATGTTGGTCATTACTGTCTTCACAGAACAAAAAAAGATGTGCAATGCGTGAAACAATGGCAATGATAGTATGTATAAATGCCATGTTGCACTGCATGGAAAAGGTTTCCATGGTTTTCCCATCAAGGAGAGAGTAACAGCTACAATAATTTTGCGATGTTCACATTTGCTCTCTCACATTGTTCAGAGATTTTTATACTCAAGCATTATAAATTGTTTTAAGTGGTGTTTATAATTTGTTTATTAAATAATAATTGTTTTAGTTGATTATGTTTCATTAAATATGCAATGTCACATGTCTGTTGCACCAATGTGACCACAAGTGGAATGATAACGTAAGTGCTTAGTGTAATGTTTTCACATGAATGACATACTTAAGAATTGAAATGAAACATGATTCCCAAAGTGATACTCCAAAAATGTTCAGAATACACTTTTAATAAAATTATTCAGCTAAAAAACTTCTCAGCATATATAGGTTAAACATAATAATAACACAGATTATGATGAAAATTCTATATTTTTATATAACTTTTAAAAGAGCTGAAATTTAAATGATAATAACAGTAGAAAGGAAAAAAGTTTGGGAAAGCAAACATGCTACATAACTTGTTAAAAAGTATGACAACTACTTGCATTTTTGGAAGCCCAATTTCTGAGTAAAAGTTCGAACCAACTTAGATGGTGTTGCTTCACTATATAAATAAACCTCAGTAGGCGAGTACCAATCCACATGAAATTCAGGAAAAGATAATGTATGAAGAACTGAAACAGATTAATATTCAAAATTGAATTACAAATTTTCTTGATAATAATATGTTATATATTATATTCACAGCTGAAGAAACGATTTTTCGGCGGAGGGGGGGGGTACATGAATAGTCCAGCTGACTTGGCGTTTTCTTATAATGAATTATTCATTTATGTTGAATTTAAAATGTATTTTTATTGGTTAACTTGTAGTTAGTATTTGTAATGTATACAACTGATATATTAAATGATTTTCATTAGTAATGAAAATTAGTGAAAAGTTATATTTTTCAATATGTATCAATGGCATATGTGGAGAAGGGGAAACCTGCAGCTCCATGAGCCCCCTCTTGGGTGCATCACTGAGTTATCTAATTTCTAACATATTTGAAAACTACGATGAACAAATAGCAGAATTATTTCTTTAGTAATCTCCTTTATATTATTCTTCATTAAGTCACTTAAGGATTTTCATTATTGCCACATTTTTTAAATCTTGTACCTACTAGAAACTAAGGTATAAAAGATTTTATCAAAACATATATCAAAATAATAATTCAAAACAACATGTATATATACACACCTGTTTTTGGAATCTTGCTATTTGGATCAACATGATAATCTGACAGTTTATGGCCATAAAAATGTTCCAGATGAAACATTTCCATTTTATTACTTTGTTCCACTTCTAACGGTTGCCATGTCCCATCATAAAACCAATTACCTCGAGTAATTCCACATTCTTCACCTGAAACACGAGATTAATAATATAAAATTTTCTGTTATGAAACACAGAAATTGCAATGATTATTTAAATATAAAATTTACCAGGCCAATAAATTGAACAACATTTCCATTCATGAAGATCTACTTCATACATGCCCCCACGAACAACAATTCTATGCTCAGTATCACTTAAAACTCCAATTCCAGCCTGTCTGCTATCAGCTTCTACACCCGAGGGTTTATCAAAATTTAAGGCACTCTCAGTGTTATCTGCTTCCTTCTGGGGATATTCGGTCCATGAATCCTGATTACTATAAAAATGCCATTCTTGATACAGTTGGCGATATTTGAATTCAATTCTCAGAGAATCATAACCACTGAATTCCAGCCATCGTTTGTCAGATTCACTTTTATAAAACCAACGTACTTCTTCTGGACCAAGTTCATCTACAATACTATCCAAATTTTTGGAATCAGGAGACACATACTCCCATGTTCCTGATAAATTGCCACTATTATTGGAATTAACACCAGTTTCAAGCTGGGCAGACGGATCATATAATTTCATATACAAGGCATCTTCTGGATTTTCATCTGTATATTCAATTCCCCCATCATTTCGTATTGATAGGTTGCTCAATTCCTCGTCCAACTGGAAGGGGGATGGCAACCTACCTTTTTCAGGAGGAATATTCATTTGACACTTCGACGACAAAAACTAAAAACAATCAAGTTCCTCGTGTGCTCACACCGCAACACATCACAAGTTGGCCATTACAATAACAATGCGAATATGCCTACAAAAATATTTATGCGAAACATAAGTATTTCATAAGTCACGTGCAGTTGACAGTGCACCAGAGCACATCATTCAATCAATTATTACTATCACCCTTCGAACAAATAATAAATTCGAACGGCAATCGATTAAATAATTGGTATTTTATCGACAGTATCTATTAGAAATAAATGGTCATAAAATCATGAAAATTAGAGCCATAGTTTGTCGATGACAGATAATCCACGTCGGTAATTTTTTTTGCTGGTGGAATTACTAAAACTAATGGACATTAGCGGAGAGGTTGCAATGTATTCAGTCCTACAGAAATTATCACAGAGAAATTTTAAACTAAATATGCAGATACTGAATTGGGCAATATTTCATTCACTTCAATCGGAACAGTTTAATGAGTTGCACAGCACATAACCACTTCAGAAGGATGAAATATTTTCTTGGCAACTAAATTCAAGTTTCTTTTCTTCAATTTCTTGGTCCTTCCTAAGTGTCAGACGTAGATAATGGCATGGGCCTATATATCACAGCTCATCTGCAACGCAGTTGACTTCGAACACTTCTTTTCGCATAGTTGTCATTTCTTACCGGCTGTCAAACACAACGAACCACACTACTGTCATGACGAAACAGGCACAGAACACCAAGGAAACGGAGCTACAGGCCCATTTTGGCGCGCAATTTGAGAAATACAATTTATTAATGTTGAAGATCATTTCGACTGTAAATATAATAATAATAATAATAATAATAATAATAATAATAATAATAATAATAATAATAATAATAATTTATCATTAAATCGCTAAACAAAGATGATGGATTTGTGCCATTCATATTACACCGTCGTCACAAATTTCCATACGTATACAACTGCTAGGAAGGGAATTACCCCCAACCCCAGTGTGAGCACCGAAGAGATTAAAAACGAACTAGAGGTCATCCACTGGCAAGCACTTCCTCGCATCAGTAACAGTTAAGTAATATTATAACATCACCATTTCTGTCCCTAATATTTCTAAAATGCATTACCATTTTGTAGCGGACGATTGCACAACCCGCAGATAATCGGAAAAAATCTTAAAACATGGTCGTGATTCAGTGAACTGGACGTGAATGAGTGTGTGGAAGATCTCCAAAGGTAGGTAGTTATTTTATAAGTGCTATTTGTGTTTTTTGTTGATTATACCGACGAATCATATTTCTCCAGAAAGTAAGAATCTCTGCTGATTTAAAAGAGAAAACATTCCTGATGTTTACAGATCTTTCATGATTGTAGGGTTGAGAAATTTTCGAAATAAAATAATTTTATTTCGTTATCATCAGTACTAGTAGCAATAATAATAATAATAATAATAATAATAATAATAATAATAATAATAATAATAATAATAATAATAACGAAATGAACTAGTATAAAACGTATTCAAACAAAAATGCTTGTTGCAAAATGCTGGAGTGCAATTACTGTTTTTTCGAAACCTAGTTCGTTTTTGTTTTGTATGAATTCTATTACCGGCAATTGTCTCAATGTAGAACTAATAAAAAAATAGTGGTGCTATGAATGGCTTTCTCGAGCAAGTTAGTTTTCTTGGTCTGGGCTATCATTTCGGTCTCGCCCCATCCTCCTCCCAGCTACCATCTATCGTCGCCCAAACTAAATTTTTTCTCAATTTTTCGGTTTCTTAATTATAGAACCGAAATATTACTTTAAGAAAATTATAGAAGAGTAAAACCTCACCCTATGTGGAAATCTTCGTTGAAAGATTTGGAAGCGTTTTTACAAAAACGACCTTTAAACCTTACTATAAATGCAAAATCTGAAGGATTTTACACAGAAAACTTTTGAGATTTCGAAGTTATTACATTTGCGTAATTTTTGAAAAAACAAAAGAATACAGCAAAATGCCATTTGTGTAATCTTAAATTGTGTATTTGGCACTATCTGTACAAAACACGTAAGAAAAAATTTAACGTGATCTCGCAAACGCAATAATGTATACAAATTGCCAGTAATGTAAATAATGATGTGAGAGAAATGTCAAAAACATTACAAGTGTGTAAGTTTTCAACAAAAAAAAATAAATAAATAAAAATCAGCAGTATGGCATGTATATCATCTTATACACAAGAATTAACACTTTTTTTGGTTATTTAAGGTCGCATCAACTTCTAGGTCAATAGCGACCGCTATTGCGTTTAACGGTATGGTGACTGTGAGGATGACACGATATGATGATGGTAAGGGGTAAAAAGACGATCACAAATACAACCATACCCGAGGCGGGACTCAAACCCGCGATCCTTTGGTCCGAATTTGCTACGGAACTACTGTCTTAACGATCTCAGCCATCCGGCAGAATTAGCACTATCCCTACCAAAAGTTTAAAGAAAAAATTGGGACCATTTTTTAGAAATTTTTGTTTTTTACATCATTTTTTGTTGTTGTAATTCACATATTTTACGCAATATTGCCCGAAAACTACTAGAACTACAGACTGTGTTCAATGTATAATTTTCAAAATTGATTTGATGTGAATTTATTTTTATAATTAATTGAATAAAATATTTATATGTTATTATTTTATATTAATAGCTGTTGGGAATTAATGAAGTTGAGTATTTGTGGAGGTCTGAGTTTATCCTTGGGAAATCGTGAGCATATTCTATTTGGTTTTGGGTAGTTTTTGCCGAGTTTGAAGTTGGGCGTGGCTGGAGATCCTGAAAGAGTATCAAAGAACTTGTGAGAGGATTTTAGGATGTGTTCTTGTATTGAGTCAATTCGTAATTCTCTGTGAAGTTGTTTGTTACTAATAAACCAGGGAGTCTTAGTTATATTTCTTAAACATTTATTTTGAATGATTTGTAGTTTTTAGATGTGTGTTTTTGCTGCATTACACCAAATTGGGCTAGCATACGAGATTGTTGGTCGTAATATCGATGTATAAATTGTGGTTCCACATTCAATACTTAAAGCTGATTTAGAATTTAGAAGAGGATAAAGTTTAACAATTTTTGCGTACGTTTTGTTTGCAACTGTTTTGATTTGGTCTTTCCAAGTTAATTTTGCATCAAACATTAGTCCTAAATATTTAACTGCCGTTTGTTTGGGAAGCCATTTTAATATTGGAATTTTTAAGGGGGAGGGGTCCGGTGGTCTTCGGAAGTTGAAGATTTTTGCTTGAATTTGTGCGAGTTTAATTTTGATTCTCCACTGTTCAGCACAGGTGATATATGTTGTTAAGTCCGTTTTCTTGAAGGTTGTCGTAAGCACAGAGTATATCCTTGTCAGCGATGGGAGATAAACTTGTGCCCATCCTGAAGAAAATTTGGACCTTCTATAGAACTGCTATCGGTAGACGTCTGTTGGCAATCGGTAGGACATAATATGTAACCATTTCTAATAAGATGAATAAGTACGTGCATTTTTATCACCACTGGTTTTCAACTGTGCAAATTATTGGTATGCATTCGTTTGCTTACATGAAATGAAGGCGTTCCATACTCGTCAAACTCGCTTAATAAGGGCGATGACTGCTATTGTATGTTTTTCAATATCCCCACCACCACACACACACCTTATTCTCAGAGAATGGCACCAAATAAAAAAAAAAAAAATTAGTAACTTTTCAGATTTTGTTGCATTTATGCATACATATTTATTGAAAAAATTGTTTTTGTCACAAAACACATTGTACAATTAATTACACAATTCCACACAATAGAAACATTTCATTTCTGTTAAGGCTATTTTTTATCTTTTTCGTACTAAAAAGTGTCGACATTAGAAAAACAAGACATATGGAGATGATACAGAATTATTTTCATTGTTATTGCATTATATATACATCCAAAATATACAGTCAACATCACTATTATACTTAAATAGCTATGAAGTTAACAATCTTTTTCTTGAAAAATATGACTAAAAACATTATAAAAGGACATTTCTACTTCTTTTTTCTGTTTCTCGAGGCTGTAACTAGAATTTTGTTAATTGAGTTAGAAGTAGAGAGCTAGAGATGAAAGAATGACTTATACAAAAATAGATATATGATGCAAAAATAGATAGCCACATAAGCACAATATTTTCTTTTTTATTGAATTTAAATCTTGAATAATGAAAATTAATATAATCCATTATTTTGTATTATTAATTTGAACCTGTTAAGTTATGATGAGTTATCATACTAGATTTGGGATTTGTAACTTTTAGATATATAAAAGTACTTATGACAAATTGTAATTATAAATCAATAACATATCAAAATCTATTCTAGTTAGCAATGTTACAAGAATATGTGTACTATTTGATTCTATTTCTAGAGAAGATAAAATTATGAATAATGATATGATGGAAGTATGAATTTGTTGAACAAAACAATACAAATGTTTTCATATCCACTGAGAAAAAGAGGAACACGAGATGAGATTGCTAAAAAATACAAAATATCTGTAGTTTTTTCAAATTCAGAAATAAAATCTATTTGCTTCAAATTTCCATCAGTGCATATAGATATGCCTCCTACGTTATTTACCAAAGTGGTTGTTATGTACCAAAGTGGTTGTAAAAACAAAATGTATCATACAAAAGGTCAGATAAATACTGTACAATGCAAACAATTTGTGATTCATGTTTTAACACAGCATATTAAAGAGATATGTTGTATAGTGTAAATTGAAGAAAACAAGCAAGCTCTTTCTTCATCACAAGGTATAATATCTTCAGTCCAATAGAGTATAATTACCATTCAGAAGATTTGGTTAACATAAGTAAATTTGTTACAAATGAAATAAGTTTTTTTCTGCTGGAAAAAAACTGAAGCAACTTGCTACTATAAATATGGTATGGGGCTGTCTATAAATTATGTAACACTTAAGAGGGGTGACTGCTATTTCACGTAGTGGAATGGTGCTGTTAGTATTACTTAATGCTGGCATTTAAAAAAAAATTGACATTTGCCAAAATAATATATTTTTTTATTCTTATACTAAAGCATTAAAATATTAACAAATTTAATTTAAAAAATACAAATAAATTAAAATATTTTATGTATTAATTGTTGCACTAAATGAAAATATTTTTTTTATCAACGATTGAATCTGTTAGATTAAGAAGAAAATATTCAAAACTATTTCTTAGTGTGTTCTAAAATTCAATTACTTTGATGTAGTAGACTTCTATTGGCACTAAAGTAATTCACATCAGCAGGTGTATGGCTTGATGTCAGAAAGTTTCTCGCCTATGCTTCCTCTCTTCCTTCACTCAAAACTTGTTCCCAATCTTATTGTCAGGCCCAGCAGATAATATGGGAATGATGGGTATCTATACCCCACATGAAAAATTTGGGATGAGAGAAATATTCCACAAATGTTAAATTCCAAACGTTTCTCGGTATTACGCCGAATTAAAACGTAATCGTTGCAATCAACTAAGTTGCAAGATTGGCACAACAGGAGTGCGATTTTATGTTAACATCGACATGAACGACAAAATCGATTTGCAAAAATTGTTCAAGGAGTTTTCTTGAAAAAAACATCGCAAAGCGCAACACTTGTTTTCGCATTGCAAAATTGAACAGCTGAAGGTTACATAAAATAGATGGCATAACAATTTAATGATAAATATGACAATTTGAAAACAAAATTGTTTTGTGTTTTTCTCTTCATATACATTTTCAGTGGGAGATGAGGGGTACCACCAGGGTCAACTATTACTCACTCGTACCCACTCGTACTCGACACCAATGGCCGACCCAGAATATTGTTAAGTACAGTCAGCATCACCAACTATTTCTGACCTTAAGTACCATACATTGAATAAATTACACCAATAAAATTAATACAATTAGTTTTTTCTGTTATGTAATTAATTTTTACTTATGGTAAAAGGGGATGAAGCATATGTTACAGAGGCGTTGGGTAATAAAAGTACTCCATATTTGCGTTACTTAATTTACGGACGGCCCCATATCATAATATCATCGTTTTATATAGAAAATTATTGTTAAACAGTACAACTGTTATTCCTAAACAACCTTATGTTCCATTAACTTTCAAGATAATAAAACTATTCTCATTGGGCCTGTACTTCATGGCAATTGTAGGTGTGAAGAAATCCAAGTTTGAGCAGTCTATTATCAATACTATATTACAGAAAAATTAACAACAAAAGTTTATTGCTTTGGTAATTTCAATTTAATTCATTGAGCAACAATTTCGAATGGCCACTTTGTCTCCTTTGAGGGCATTTTCTTCCATTTCTTCCACTGTATCACATAATGCTCTTCCTTTGGTTTCTGGTAACAAAAGCACCAACAATCCAGCCGAGAGGCAAATCAGACCACATATGGTACTTGGAATGTTTCTTCCCACAGCACCCTGCAAAAGAAAGGAATTTTAACACATTACAACTCCAAACTTTTTCAGTGTGTTATGTTCCAGTATGTCCGACCTCCTCAGACTACAGCCATGTCATGGCATCTCAGCCTGACGGCCATGGGCTCAGAAGATCTGTGGCAAGCAGGTCGCAATCCCTTATGCCCTTTTAATTTAGTGTATTAGTGCGGTGGGGAAAACTATCAGTTGAATACAAATATCATCTAATATTCCTTGAACAAGATAATCAACAGGACTAATTCCAAGTGTTTTTTTCATGTCGGAAACCAAGTATAAGTTCATAGTATTCTCCAGAAATAGTCAAAATTTGGAAACTAATGTTGAACTAAAAATTGCAAGACAAGAGCAAAGAACTAAATATTGCAAAATACTTGTTATGTTGTTTGAACAACTCAACGAGCTAGAATGTTCTATCGAGTTACATCGAGTGGCTGGCCCTCTGGTTTCACCCGACGAACACTCGACGAACTAGGGGTCGACATGTTTCTTGCAGTCAAAACATGAGAGGTGCCTAATGGTGGCGTGTAGAGCTGTTGTACTGAATAAGGCGCGGATACACGGGGGAGGGGGGAATAAGGGACCCCCCCCCAATTCAGTAGCTATTAATTTTAATTTCTCACGAAACATGCAAGGAACTAATGGTGCTAAAACAGCACGTACTTTCTCATTGATATTTTTACGTACAATTACGCAGTCTCAACTCAAATTATCGAAAAAATTTCAAATTTTTTCAAAATTTCAAAAATTGAAAATTTTTTGAAAAGGAAGACGCCGAAATGATTTTAATTTTTTTTTAATTTTCAAAAATACGGGCATTTAACTATCATGAGAGCAACACGTCATCTTAAACGACCTTCAGACTATCCACCAACATTTCATCAGAAACTCTGGAGCAGATTTTTGAAAAAAACTAGTGGTGCAAAACAGCACATACTTTCTCGCCCCTTAGTAACGGTTATGTAATAATATTATACTACCATAATTCCTTTTCGCAATGACCATTTTTGAAGAATTAACTTTGTACAACAGACTTTTTTTGAGACATATCCCTATCTCCTATTTTGAAGTTTTAAATCCCCCCCCCAATTTTTGAAAAATCGGGGTTGTCAACGAAACTGAGACCTGCAACAGTCAAGCAAGTGTTAGTAAGTGCGAGAAAGTAAAAATTGTTTGAACAAAATTAAAAATAGCCATTTCACATAAAATTACACGGAAAATACACAATTTTCCGAAAAATTGTAAATGACCTTATTTCAAAACCTATCTTTAAGGAACAGATTCCATTAAGAGAAAACCTCTATCTTTAACATTTTAGTGGTAGGAAGACTCGTAAAAAAATTGAACTTTTGCAATTTTACAAAAATTATGGTTTTCAACGAACATGAGACCTGCACTACCTTTTAAACGTCATTTACAGAATCTAACAAAAAGTAAAAAATAATGGAACCATTTTTCGAAAATTTGAAAAATGTCCCGGGTGCTTCATGTAAAGTACCATCAGAAATTGAATGATCAGTTTCAAATTCATGGGATCACAACATCAGCTTGATAGATAGGACAATATCAATTGTGAAGAAAATCGGCTGAACGTTTGAGCCTCTAGCGTTGTTCACAGGTGGCCAGAGAGACGTTTTGTCGTCATTCGATTTTTCAGTGTCAAGGACCTCCAAAACATGGATCCTGCCTGCACCACGTATTGGAGGATTTTTTTCTCGAAATTTAGCAATTGGATTAACTACTCTTTCGATACTCTGTATTAAGTTTTTCTGTTAAAAACTTGGCCATTTTTCGCGCAGCACTACTTAACCTTCTCTAGACTCCGTGAAAATATTTTCGTACAATAATTAAAAGGAATAAAATCGTATCGCACTATGAGCTGAGTTTAGCCTGCGGTATTGTACATAATCTGCAATATGACACATTCGACCAAAACATTTTGAATGTAAAACTATCTTAATATACCGACAACGTTCGACTCAGAGTCGGAAAAAGAAGCAGAGATGGCTCCTAAATCTGCAACAACGCGTCAAATTCCGTAAAAAAAAAACAACAACAAAAAAACAACAACAAACAACATATATATGGGACACCGATGTTCAAAGAGTTAAATGGTCTAATTGGAACCAAACGGAAATTCACATCGTTAAAACGTCATCTACAGATATCCAGGAAAAAAAAAAACTACGCGCAAACCCGAACGTGGCCTTCCCTCTCAATATTGGACTGGCAATATTTCTCCGCCTGCCTGCGCTCTTTGTCACAACATGGCTCTCCGACTTTCGTGGGACGCGCGTGCGCATTCACACTGCAAGCTTGGCGATAACAAACTGATGAGTGCGAAAGATCAGACGAAAGCAGCTTTCGACAGCAGGGGTTGCCCGAACGATCAATAGAAAATAAGCTGTGTCTTCAAAAATAGTTTCAGTTAAAAGATAATGTGATGAACGAACACATTGATGAATTCATTTCTTTGGACACTCCTGGTTCTGCCAGTTCCTCTTCTGACAATAGGGAGTTTGTACACGTCATAACGTCAGCACTATCGATCTTCTGCGCATTCCCAGACGTACTAAAATCGTGCGAAACTTGAACCGCGCCTGAGCAGAAGATCGATAGTGCTTAAACGTTCGAGGTGGAACAAACTACGTAAAGAAGGCAGTGATGTCGAGTGACGGTAAGTGCGATCGCTACGATCTCGCAGTTGCCTCTTCCCCATGGGGAAAAGCAGAGCCTTAGCACAGAAGAGATACTTCACAGAAAGGAAAGCTACCCACAAACCGGGCGCTGTTATGATACGTAAGGTCGCCATATTGAAAGTGTGCACGACCCGGCATTTGTTGCGTGGTGAACAGTGGCGAAGGTGTATTTTATTTTCGTTCTACTCGTTATATTTGGTGTGTGTATGACTAGCAAAAACATACTACGTAGCCTGAGGAGACATTTGCTCGGAATAGGGAAATGTTAATATCGCACATAGGCAAATATAAATAAAAGATAGAGATAAAAAGAGAAAGAGTTGTTAATACATAATTAGTAGTGCTACAGAATGACACAGACTTTCTCATATTAGTTTTCTACTTTCTACGGTGTGGGCTATTTTATCGGACTTGCCACATATTCCAGCCCAGCTGCCATCTATCTCCGCCCAAAGTAAATTAAAAAAAAATCTGAATACTTCGGTTTCCTTATAGTAGAAATGAATTATTACTTTATGAATATTAAAGAAGAGTGAAACCTCGTCCGAAATGACACTTTTCATGAAACAATTTAGAGCTGTTTTTAAGAAAATATCATTTAAGCGTTACTAAAAATGCGAAATTGAAACTCTTTTCCACAAAAAATGTTTGAGTTTTCTGAAAACTTTATTTCAAGTAATTTAAAGCACTTTAACTCACAAATGCAATCGTTTTTACGAATCGCTGGAATGTGCATAGGAATGGCATGCGAGCTATTTCAAAAAATGTACATTTGTGTAATTTTTGAAAAACAAAATAATACACCAAAATGAGTTTTGTCATAATAAACAGCGCAATTAGCACTATCCGTTGCTAGAAGTTAGAAAAAATTGGGGCCATTTTTGAGAAAATTGCGTTTGAACTGACTCTTGCGGCTCCTTTGCAGTTTGAAGATGGCGCTGCGCTGAAGATCAAAGGAGCCGCCCTCTTCTTTCCTTTCCGTGTAGTCTCTATTTTGTGATCTTATCACAGAGAGGGGAAATCGCAGTTGCCGCTTGGTGGGAGAAGCCTCCGGGACTTCACGAACGGTACGTCCGCCATGATGGCTTTTTTGCGGGGGGTACAGGTATTGTTAGAAAATCAGTCGCAGAAGAAGCCTTCCAAAAATTCAACACGAGTAGAAGACGCCAAGTAATCCTCAGAGATTAAGAGTTGCCATTTCAACTTTGGTCACGGTCAACTCATGACGAAAACTAATCCTAAACCGTGCCCATTGTGTGGAAATCTTTTAACAACTCCACATCTTCTAGAATGCCCATGTCTAGCATCATCAAGACATCATTTAAATATGAATAAAACATGTAATCGATTTTAAAAGCAGTTAAATGTTGTAAGAAAGTCATACCTTTACTAAAATTGTATCAATTGGACTTAAATACATAACCCATTGTATAACCTGTTCTAAACTGGTAAATGTAAAAATGGACACATTCTGTGGTCGCTGATGACCATGCTTTAAAGGGACATAAAAATATATTTTTTTAAAATATTTCCAATAAGAAAAAATATATTAGTATATAACAGTAAAACAATTTAGGCGGCCACTTAGTATAGGCTGGATGCAATAATTTATAATAATATATAAATAAACATTTTCACCCGGGATATTTAATTAATTTGATTCCTTAGCAATATATAAGTATCAACAATGCAGTTGTTTGTATTCAGAGGATATATTAGTAAGTTATTAAGTATTAATAAAACAAATAAGTAATTCACTAAACAAATAAATCAATCATAAAATAATTAGATTAGCTCATCGCGGGGCAAATGGGTGAGGGTGGCAGAAGTAACTGCAGAGGCGAGAGTGCGGACGATTTTCCGTGGCGCAGTTTCAATTCAGATGCTGAGGAGGCCAAAGACTGGAAGTAAAATACGTGACGTCGCCAGCAAATAAATAGTTCAAATAATCTTTCGTAGATTATCTTGCACTCGCCGTCCCTCTACAGGTTTTTCTCTTCAGAATTGTTTTCCTGCTTGATGAATGCTTGGAAGGTTAGAATGCTGTAGGATGAAGGTTTTGTAACGTGTGAAAGGCCTTCGGACTAGTCACTTGGTAGCAGGTAATGTAATTTATATGTGCAATAATGACCTATTGAATAGAAAATATATATTGTGAAAAATAGTCTTACCAGTTGCACAACAATGTAAGGGGCAGCGATTGAACCCACGTGAGACATTGTGGAGCTTATACCAACTGCAGTATTTCTATTCACAGTAGGAAACAGCTCAGTCGTGTACAGAATGATTACGGAGTACACGGCACTAATGCAGAGTCTGCCAACCATAGCCACAGCGAGAATCGCCATGCCGCTCTCTGAAAACGCAAAGAAGATACACAAAAACTTCATTAAACTTAGTAATTAATAACACATTTAGAGAAATGTTTTAATTAATTATGAGACCCATTGTGAAGCTATTACAACTGCAATTCCGTTGACAAGACAATTAAATTAATAACAAGTAATGTAATAATATTTGAGGATGATTTGTAATATTTCTAACATCTTATTGTCACGCCATGAAGAGGCTTTAAGACGCGTTGCTTCAATTAATGGATTACGATTGTTATGACTCAACAAATTAAAAAATCATTGCTGCTCAAATGAAACTTCTGAAAACCAGAAAAAAATACGAAATGAAGGAGAAGACTCCACACCTTTGTGTATTCTTATCTACTAATTTAACAACAGAACGGCAAGTTTGTGTTTTGCACACTTTTCTGATGTTGGATACGTAGTATAAAAAGCTCACATATTCACATTTACTTTATGTTGTATTAACAGCAAGAACGCAATAATATCAATATACGAACACTAATAAAACCAAGTTTTTTATTGAAACTTATTATATTACATTAGCATTCAAATATAGAGGAATTGAAATAACATCTGTTTCTACTACAAAACCTAATCCGTGACATTAATATTTAAAATGCAATGTTTGAATTATTAAAATTTATTCTGGGCATTGAGAAAGTCTGTTGAACCAACTGCCACTATGCCTCCATTTCTGAAACCTTTCTTATATTTTAGTTTGTGGTCTTTCTGTAAACAGAACTTGGGTTGCTACATTTTAAAGTAAATTGCAAATGGTTGGCTGGTTTCAACCACAATTTAAAAAAGGCTTTTTAAAAATTAATTCCAGAATCTTTATTGAAAACCATTAGAAGAAATTCTAATCACAAATAGAAATAATTAAGATAAATAAACTGGAAGTGTTTATATGCGGTTTTCAAATTTTCAACTTTTAAACAATTTTTCAAATCTCTTATTGGATTTGTAAAACGTATAAACTATCAAATGAATTGTTGTCGTTCGGCGTTTATGACAATTATAGAAGTTACAATTGTCTGTACAATCCGGGTGGCCGAAGTGGTTAAACGTCGGGTTCGGACTCAGCGTTTAGGAGGAAACGGTTCGTTCAAGACTGGCTCGGAGATAATTATTTGTCACAACTCGCTATTGCCCCAGGAAACATTAGAGAATTTCAGAAACTTTATTGAAAATCATTTGCAGCAATTCTACTCACATATACAATTTATTAAGAATCTAAATAAACTGGATGTGTGTGCACCTCATTTTCGTATTTTAAAATTCTAAGCAAGTTTACATCTCTCTTGCTCTCATCGTAAAACGTATGTCACATCAAATCAATTGTTCAATTTAAAATTCAAATCAATATAATATTGCGTAACGTTTAGAAACATTGCAAGAAAATATGTGCTTTGGCAGCTATTATTTATAATTGTTGAAATTTGCACATATTGCACGCATTATTACGCAAAAAATACAAAAATTTCAAAACAAATTACAAGAATTTAATGAAAGAATTGACTATGGAGAGCAAATTTTATTTGAAGGAAAAATCTGTTTCTCGTCTAATTTTTAATTGCTGAAGCTCTACACCCTATCAGCTTTTCACCTTCCCATCACTTCTTTCCTATAATTGGTTAAACCTGTTCCTTCAGTCAGTTTGAGCTCCCAGTTCCGATTTTCGATCTTACATTTCAACGTCAGATCCCCGACTACACTGAATATTACTAGCTTTTTCACCTTGGACTGTTTCGTACAACATCGTTTGCAATCGAAGCGATACCTATTTGTCTTTGTTGAAAGTATTTTAATTAGCAATTACTTATTACATCCACAAGAAAAAAAATCGACGTCGGCTTTTCTTTCCTGAGTAACTAACTGCTTAGAACTGAACACACTTATTTTATTTACCGAGTTAAGCAGCTTCACCTTCGCGCCATCTTTGGATTAACCAATGCCTCAAAAATCTGAAGGACGCTGGTTTAGCGAGCAGCAATGTGTTGGTATTTAGGGGATTTCTCGATTCGGGATGATCTAAGATTCAGTTGGCATTCACAGATGCACTAGATCTAGGCTAATCTTATTGTACTCCATGCGAGTAATATAACATTCGAGGATGACAATTTAATCGATAAACATAATGCTTTCCCTTCCATAATAGTTGTTCAAGCCCCACTCACAATGTTGACGGCAGATTTGTCTTACGTATTATATTTTTATTATTATTATTATTATTATTATTTTATATATTTATTATTATTATTATTATTTTATTATTATTATTATTATTATTATTCTTATTATTATATATTATTATTATACTGTCTAAAAGTAATTAATTTACCTGAACCTGATATCTTTACTGCTTGTACTAACTTGAAATCTAGATTTATCATTAATATTGCACATACCTTTTGGAATGGCTAAAATGGACAAAAGAGCAGCTCCTGACAGAAGATACATCGCTGCTGAAGTTTGGCGACGACCTATGTAGCGTAGGATTGGGATTGGAATCACGTAACTGATGGCTTCTACTGCTCCAGATGCAGCGGTGTAGATGTACCTGCAATCCACGAATAATGTTCCATATATTAGAATTATCATTTTACTAATCCCTTGAGCCTGGAATAACCTGCCACAGACTTGGTTCGTGGACTCCTTCTCAGCATACATAATGCTAACACAAGAAATTACACGTAAATGACTTACAGATAATTTCGCTTACCAATGTTCTCGTAATATATCTCGATTTTCAATAACCGAAGACACTTCCGCTTCCGAGTATCAGGTTTTTAATCAGCATTTTGTAACCATTGAGAAACAATGTAGAGCGCTTTTTAATATCTCACCGTAACATTTCTCCAGTGTGGGGGTTTGCTCATTTCTAAATCTAGATGATCAAACGAATGATCTAAATCATCTACATGATTTAGAGAATTAATCGATGTTATGGATTCTGGGAAAATATTTAGATCAGGGATTCACAACCTTTTAAAATAATTATTTGCTTCATCGACTCCATTACAGCATATGTGTAGTTTTTTTGTGATGTGGCGTAGCGAGTACATAGTTGTAATTTCGAGAGTGTTCTAAACATCCTAAGCATCTCTTCTAGGTTCTCGGAGACCCAATGTAGTACGTCGAAAGGAGTCCTCTTATCACCGGCTACTAGACATTAAATTAAGAATTTTAAGAGTAATTATCATAAAAATATAAATATGCAATAGAAAAATATGCCTGGAATACGATTTAATTCTTTGCCGAACCTTGTTTGCGGAGATTCCTACGAGAGACTCCTGACTTCAGTCAGATGACTGAAGTCATCAATTTAATCAGTCTAGCTACGCCTAGCATCAGTCAAACTACAAAACACGAAAGTGAGTTGTTGAACCTTTTGTTGATTTGTATTAGGAAACATATTTATCAGTCATCTTCATTAATACTTGTTTTGTAATCAATGACATCTAGATCTCGATTATACCGATCAGTTCTTATTAGGCTATTCACTCCCTGTCGACTCCTTTATCATCATCGACCCTTTCAAAATTTCTTCGGCCACTGGGGGCCGATACAGTCCCCGATGGAACCCTTATTTATAGCTTTCAGATTTTTCAAATATTTATGTAAAAGGGAAGAACATACCAGAAGATGTTCTTTAAAATGGAACCAAGATTTCTATATAGGTACTTTAAAATAAGTAGAGAAACTCGTTTATAAAAATTTAGAGAAATTCAAACGTGCTCTGAATAGGTACAAAACACAATTAACGGAAGAAAATAACAGTAAATTTAAAAAGAAGAGACCGTTCTGCAGGCGAACTGTGAAACAATGACTCAAGAAGTTATGAGTGAGTTACGTATTATCTCTAACCTATAGGATGGATGTTACCAAAACTGAACAGTATCAATTCCATAGACGTCAATTGCATAAGAAATAAGACCAAATGCATTGAAAAACCAACCAACATTTACACATCGGATTCACAAGAAATAGCCAATATTTTAGCCAATCCCAGCAAATTCAAGCTCTTCAAATTATTCTTAATTACTCAAAACAAGCAAAGGAAATCATAAAAATGGAAATAGTTTATAATAATTGCAACTTTAATGAAGGATTTAAATTGAGTGCTCATATCTCCTCCAAAAAATTACAACAAGTATTGGAATTCTTAAAAACTTCTTCACCTGGGCCTGATAACATTCCAAACATTTGCCTTAAAACTTTTCAGCATCAGAAAATGACATGCTACTTCAGATATTCAAACACATTTGGATTGAACACATCTTTCCAAAATAAAGAATAATGACTGTTGTGATACCAGTTTCCGGAACTGGAAAAGACGATTCCAACTACAAACCTATCTCCTTTCCATCCAACTGAGCAAAATTATAAAGCAGATAACAAAACCACGCCTAATGTAGGTACTTCAAAACAATCAGAACCAATTTGTTTTTCGTCACGCCTCTCTACTATATCGCATCTGATTACTGTGCATAAATATATTCGAGAAGCATTTTTAGAGAGACCAATGTATGCTAGCAATAAGTTCAGTTATAGGAAAAGCTTATGATATGGTTTGGGTAGATTATACCTTAGTAAAATGGATCGTCTTAGGAAGCTAGAAAAACCTGTTTTTAATGTTTGAATTGACTAAATAATTACTTCACATTTGCAGCATCAGATCGAGAGTAAAAGACAAACAGTTTATAGATTTGGAAACGGCGCCCCCTCCAACAATTAGAATTTAGCGTCATCCTATTCCTACTAGTGACAAATGAGAGAAACAAAATACCTCCAGAAATTGCCGACAATATTATCATTCTGTTAAAAGAGTAAAACGTTGTTTCTAACAAAGACACGATTCAAAATGTTGTAATCCTCCTACATTACTGGTTCCAAGAAGATGGATTCTTAGAATCGTATTTTGATTCCAAATTATCGTTCACTGAGAGTGGCCGGCACGGCGACCCGACCCGACCCGACCCGACCCGACTGGCGGGCGCTGACACTATGTCGAATGCTTCAATGGCAGCCATTGTGCAGTCTAATGCAGGCACATTTTGAATTTTTGCGAGGAAATGTCTTTTTTTTTGCGGATCAAGCAATAATCGTAATGAATGATAACCGAATACGAAACGAGTTTTGAAATAATTATTTTATGCCACAGTTATTAAATTGAATTTTTGTTCCGCCGTCAAACCAAAGATTTCAAGAGCAATTGAAATTGCAATTTTAATATTGCCGTAAGGGAGAGTAGGAGATTTATTAAAAAAAGAAAATCAGAAAATTGAGCTTGGTTTTGAGCGTTTAAAAAGTGGGATTATAAGGTTGTGGCTAGGTTGATACTATTCACAAATGTTTCTTTCTCGTGTACAAAAATTAAGTACATTGAGGTTTTCATACATCTACTTTTGCTACAGTTAAAACTTTTTATTGAGAAGGAAACTTCAGTTCAAGTTAATATTTAATATTCGTGTTTCTTTACACAAATAATTTTCATACAGGTTTCATACTGTCAAAGCCCCCTGGCTACACAAAGAATAAGTATATTTTACTCAAAATATTTGAAATATTTTCAATATTCTACTAACAATATTTTTGCAAAAAAATGTAGATATTTGTAATGGTTAATCATTTATTACATTCATTAATAATTAATTATTTGAACGAGAAATAGTAAATTAAGTTAATTGAATTGTCACTAAACTAAAAATGTTTAAAAGAATGTGCATACAGAATTGCTTTCAATTATTAAGTAGTGTCTCACCTGTCTGCAGTGAAATTATCAGCATTCAGGGATAGTGCATAGTATGAAAGTGCTGTAACACACCACATATACTGGCATATCATCAGGCGCATGCACAAATCACAATTTAAAAGAAGACTTGTAAATTTTTCCATTGAGGCTTTTAATTTTCCAACCCACGAGAGGTCACTTGTATCAGGGCCTGCATTGTCCTGTAAAAATCAAGAAACACAAGTTCAATTTAATGAGGGCTGACGCACATCTTTACTTTTTACTTTCTCGCCTCTGTTAACGCAGTGCAGAGAAAGTATTGTAAAGTTGCGGAAGGAAACGGCGATTTTGCGACAGAAATAATCTTATTGCCGAGCCCTGGTAATAATAAAGTGAATAAATCTTTTCCCGTTATGTAGTAGTTTACTTCTCCTAAGTTGTGAAGTCAGAATCCGTTTTGTTGGCCCTTGACACCGAAAAATCGATTTGCGGCAAAACGTGTCTATCCGTCCGTTTGTTTGTGAACAACACTAGCAGCTACACTGCCGACAGGAATTTCCCCAAAATGTATTTCCCGATCGATCTCACTATATTTGGCGCCCCCCTTGAATTTGAAACGGATAATTTGATTTTGGGGGTGCTTTACATAAAGATTCAACATTTTCAAAATTTTATAAAATATGTTTCCAATTTTTTTCCCTCTAATAGAAAGAAAGACGTAGATCACATTTACATTAAACTCCCTGAATCTTCCAAAATTGCTAAAGTTGCACATTTTTTTCCGGATCTTCCTACTTCTACAATAATGAATATACAATTGTTTCATACATTTTCATTCATCTATTCATTAAAAGCAAATCTTCAAATAATGTCCGTTTCAATTTTTTCGAAAATATGAGGTTTTTGCTTAATTTTGCGTGATGCAATGGCATTTTCAAACAATTATTCCCCCCCCTCAAAAAAAAAGCTCCAATTTTTTTTCTTCAAATGTGGAAAAAAACTGCTTTCGCCTTTTTCACCGCTTATTTAAGCTGTTTTTAGTGCCTTAAAATCTTTCAAACTTTCTGTGATTTACTCACGGGTATTTGATCTTGTCTAGTTGAAATATATCTAGATTGTGCGATGATAAAAGAATTCTTGAATTTCTATTAGAATTTGAACACTAACCATGCAATTGTTGCTGTTTTTGGTTTAAGGAGAACTTTTTTTAAAATGAAATTTCCCCCCTTTTCTGTAGCTTAACTAGTTTTATATCATAACGTAGTACATATCAACAGATCTACGTGAGACAATGTGTTTCCTTTTATATAGTTGATAAATTAGTAAACTATTAGTGCTAAAACAGCACATACTTTCTCGCTCTTAGTAATGCTTACGTAATACTAATTATACCGCTACTTCTCTCAGAATTCACACATTTCTATCATCACTTTTTGTAAAACTCAAATTTTCTAAAAATTGTACATGACGTAATTTCAAAATCTATCTTTAATGATCAGATTTCATCAAGGGAAGCATCTCTAGTGTATTTAATATTTTAGTTGCTGGAAGACCCCGAAAAATTTTAACAAACACAAGACATTCACCATTCTCTTAAACGTCCTTTACTCTATCCAATAACAAAGTTAAACGTTTTGAAAATGTTCCAATGGCTTCAGGTAAAGTACCAAAAAAATTAAATTCAAGGGGCCGCGACATCAATCAGATCGATTGGTAAATAACAGTTTGGGATAGTATCGGCCGAAAGGTTTAGCCGCTAGCGTTGTTCACACTCAGACGGCAAACGAAAATTTAGTCGCCATTCGATTTTTTGGTATCACGGACATACAAAACATGGATTCTGTCTACACCATGTGTTAGAGATTTTTTTCTAAATTTAGCAACTGGATTTATACACTTTTTCGTTGTCAGGGCCGTGTAATAAGAGTTTTTGTGTCGAAAATGCGCCGTTTTATGGCGCAGTATTACGTAAGTTTCTCTCTACTGCGTAAACGGTAGCGAGAATGTAAAAGGGGATTTATTTTTGTTGAATAAATAAATAATTTAAGGTTAATGTTGTGACTCAAAGCAGTAATTTGATCTGAAAACATATTTTGGTTCTCATCGGTTTGTATTACATACGTAGTAAAGAAATGAAAGGAAATACAGTACCGTTCCCAAAGGCGTGAGATGAGTTTGGCGAGTCTTTGCCAACTCCTTGTTAGCTTTCTTGACAATAGCCCAGGCATCGTCACGGCGTCCCTGGGATAATAGCCAACGTGGAGACTCTGGAATCAACCTGTTGAATGACATTTGTTTCAATTTTGAGAATTTAATTCAATAAAATAAAAGATTTACCCCTACACACCCACCCTTACCATACACACCATAAAACATCACGTCTCCACCGTAACTATGGATACAAAGCCATAGATAGGGACCACACAACACACCTCACTATCTTCATTTCGCATTCCATCGTCTCTGCAAATAGCTGCCCTCTCCCCATTCCTCCCGACACCACTCAACTCAAACCAGCCACATAGCCCCCCCCCTCCAAGCCAGGAGCAGAGCCACTCGAATGCTTCCTTCTTTGGAATGCTGAGCAAGCTATTCAGGTCTCCTAAGTGACCTCTGAATTGCCAAGTACGCTACTCAAGTCGCCTTGATCACCGGATGATCAGTGTGATGTTAACCGCTGGAATGCTGCTCCAGCTATTATTCGCACACGTTTTTTGATCCGTCATTTCGCTAGATACGAGGTGTGTGTGTGTGTGTGTGTGTGTGTGTGTGTGTGTGTGTGTGCGTGCGCTTATTATTTCGACGAGGTGCGTGCGACTATTATTTCAAATTTGCAGCTCTTTTTTTGATGCAAAATACTTTCTATCACACAGGAACAAATATTTATCTTATACGATTTTGAGAACAACGCTTGTTACTATAACTTTATTCTAAATTCAACTAATATGAGTAACGGAGCTGAGACGGGTAATCTGGAGCTAAGATAAACGTGCGCACAACCAATTTCTTGACCGTTCACTCACTAAAGACTCCTCTTTCGTAATTTCAGCACGTGTCTTGTTGAAGAAGCTAATACTGTTTCCCTTGATACCGATAGTGTACTGTTTGTACGTAGAAATAATTGAGGGCGAATGTGTGATCCCTGCGCTTCGCCATAGAGTATTTTTTTGACCATTAGCAGAGTAAACTGGCGGGTGAATGCGAGCGTGTCATAGGCAGCTGTCACCGCAACCCCAAAGCTCGCGTACGAGAATCCGAAGAGTTTAAGGCGGCTCCACTCATGCGGCGGCATTCGGCGAATCAGCGAGCAACCACTCGCCGAACACCGAGTTGTGTGAACGAGTTGCTTGCGATTCACCGAGCGCCGAACATTCACAATTAGCCCTACCCACCGTGTGTCGGTCTTTAGGGCACATCAAAGGCAGCGAACATTCGCCGAACACCTCAGGTGAGCAGCAGCTCGCTGCTCGGCGAATGCCGAATGTGTGGTGCCGCCTTAAGAAAAAACGCTCAAATGGTGTAGGGGGAGCGAGGTGCTCTCCGAACTTCAATCCCTTAATTAAACGTTTTCATTTTGCGTTTATTAATCAATTTGTATAACACAACGATGCTCTTTTTATGTCTTGGTTAAATTTATTGTGCTATTTTATTTAAAGGAAAACTTAAAGGTTGAGAGCAAGGGTAATCACTACTTCAGTTCTAGACATAAAGCAATTTAATTTTATCTAGCAGTTATGCAAGGGGCTCTTTCCTGTCGCTCGTTGCAGAGCTCGCACGAGACATCTGGGCACTCGGACGACCGATAGAGGCAACGCTTGCTTCAGGGCCCGGCAACTCTCCATCAAAATCGCGGACAAAGCTCGAGGTTGCTACTATAGGAAGCGCTAGTGTTGCCGGGTGCAGCTGCAGGTTAGGCTCGCCAACATTACCACACACAAATTGGCTAATTTGTGAGAAATACGAAAAGTATCTTCTAAATGCACAATTATTCATAATCTCTACTTGTAAGAAACCTCTGAAGAAAGCGCGAACGTAGACGTTATCTTTTATAACATTATGGTCCTGCTTGCGACCTGCAAACTCATGCAGCAGTCACGCACGTTTAAAGTATCGTTGGCAGCAGTTCCTGTTTTAGTTCCTGTAAAGAAGGTGATGCAGAAGAGCGCGCCACCGTAATGGTCTCCACCACGTTATATGGGAGTTATAGGGCCCTGGCTTGCATTTTAACGGGAGACGAGAGCACAGATCCCTCGCGCGACCTTTAAAATACAAGCGAAAATGCGGAGGAAATGCAAATATTCTCTTTCGTAATCGACGCACAGAAAACCCTTCCTTCTTTTTGTTAGTTAAACACACAGAAAGAATCGCATACGTTTCAAACCAGTGAAAGTTACAAAATTTTAGTAATAACACACGGTTTTGTTATCGGTTTTCTCGATAATACTTTGCCATTTTTTGCTTCAGAGAGGTTATTTTTGCTGAAATCTAAATTAGATTAAAAGGCAGAATTAATTTACAAAATCACAATGGTGAACAATTTGTTTTATAAAAAGTTTAGTTAAAAATTCCGTTTTTATAAAAAGTTTAATAAAAAATTATTTCGTCGTAGGTCGAAGGTGAGGGTAAAGCTCACTACTCCTCTGACTCTTATGGAGCTGTATTTCGTACTGAGGATCTTATTCACGGTCATAATCGAGTTCCTTTCAGAGTTAATAATTCAATAACACCTAGACAAATCCACAGACGCTACAATATTTGAACATCGAGTAATGTGTCGAGAAATGTGAAAAGGAGCGGTAAGACCTGCGCCGGATAAAGAGCCGCAATTGTTTACGACAAAAATACGATATAGATTTTGGGGTATGAAATTTTTTTAAACTGTTGAAAACAATACTTTGAATATTGATCGCCGATTCCGAACCAAACGCATTTATCGTACGGGATGAGATCGATAAAGGCATTCCATACTCGAGACGGCAGCTGTAGTTATGTGAATTACGACTTATAGTTGGGCATTTTGTAGCAACGCACTTTAATTGTCGCCCCCTTCGGGGACCCTTATAATTGTCTCAAGGGTCGCGGATTGGAGTCCCGTCGTAGACATAGTTGTTTGTCCCTTGTCATTCATATGTGTGTGTTGTCGCGGAAGGTCTTGTAAGTCTGCTTACCAGAAACTGAGCCCGCACTTAATGCTCTACAATTTGTAATGAGTTTTACAAAAAAATATGACTGAAATGGTTAATTCGGAGAGAAATTGCGTTATAAATAGTATTACGTAACCATTACTAAGAGCAAGAAAGTATGTGCTGTTTCAGCACCACAGTTACCTCCGAAAAAATATATAATTGCACGGAAGCTAACATTTTCTTATCAATTTTCGCCGAAAATGTGCACAGAATACACATCTTCCACACATTTTAAACGTTAAATGAAATTGGCTAGAACTATCTGCTTCCGAGCTTTTCAATTAAATTCAATCAATTTTCAAATAAACTTAACTTTTATAAGGAAATATTTAAAGAAGTTTATTAATAAACAAAGGTCAAAATAGAACATACCAACAATTGATAATGAGTAAAACAGCTGGAATGGAGGTCGCCAACTGTAACCATCGCCATTGAGGCACATAGTAAGCTATAACGGGCAGAATGAGCAGCCCCAAAGGATAAGACATGTTGTACAAAATGCCTAGCAGAGTTCTTCGACTGGCATTGCTGACTTCTGTCACTGTAACAAACAACAAACCAAACAAAAGTCGTTAATACATGTATACTGTTCCTTTTTCTATTACTTTGAGAAAACGAAGATATTTAACGACTACAAAAGATCTTTAGAAACAAGAATTAAATGTGTTGTAGCATTCAATAGTAACATACATTCAAAACCTTAGAGTTCAATTTTCCAAAAACCCCTGCGAAAAGATTATTGCCCAACTACAGAAAATTTGACGTCAATTTGATTAATTATTTCCTTTTCACACCTATTTTTTTAATGTCTTAAAATTGTTATATAATATATAGTGGCATTTCAGAAAGCTTTAGTTCTAGTATACTCCTAATTAATAAATAATTTGCAAATTATAATTATGGCTAGACCAAAATTTGTAAGTGAATGTGTTATAATACTCACATAGAGTAAATGCGCAATTATAGCAGCCAGAACCTGCCATACCCAGCACAAATCGAGCAACTACAAACACCCAGTATATAGGGAAAATTCCAGCTATTGGACCAGCTACAATATACATAATACATGATATTACAAAACTGCACTTTCGTCCCCATCTGAAAGAAAGATGAAGATATTTTCAGGCTGTAACTTCATTTAAAAGAGACAATAATATAATAACGGTAAAAAATTATAGATACAAAGTACGATCAAAAAGTAGTAGGACTGATTTTATTAAAAATAATTTATTGCACGTATCTGTATAAATACTTAATAATATTCGAAGTAGCACCATTGTGCTTCGACACAACGAGTACAATGCTTCTGTCAATCAATCTGTGAACGCCTTCAGGAAGTCACTGGCCAGAATACAGCTGAAAATCTTCATTCCAACAGTGTGGACGTCTTCGATGATGTCGAAACATTTGTCCCTTCATGGCCCGTTTTAGTTGAGGGAAGACGAAGTCAGACGGAGACACGTCTGTGTGTGTGTGGGGGGGGGAGGGGGAGGAGGTAGGGCAACGTAGTGTGGCACGGCACAGTTTCTTGGTGGAACTTTCACTAACGGGCGATATCTCGTCGCTCACGGTTGACACTTTTTCGCAACCCTCCGACCACTTCCACGTAAATATGGACATTCACGGTTATATGCCCAAGGATACGCCCATATTAATCCACTGGGCAAGTTATATGCCCAGGGCGTTAATATGCCCAATGGGTACACACTCCTTGTGGATGACCTCACGATAAAAAACGACTAGTCGCATAATTTTCACCCTATACTTGCTCATCTGGACCTTCTTCAGTCAAGGATACTTGTTCGTGTGCCATTCCGAACTTTAGCGTTTCGTCTCCGGATCGAATTGGACACACCAAGTTTCTTCAACCACGTTAGTGAGAAAATTTGGGTTTTCCCTTACAAAGTTCAGACTTTTTGTACAAATCGCCGCACGATTCGCTTTTTGTTCATCAGTCAAGATTCTTGGCACAAACTTCGCGCACAACCTTATAGTAAAATTTTCTGAAGTCGTTCGAATGGTGGCTTAAGAAAGGCTTAACTCCTCACTAATTAGACGAATCGATAACCGACGACCGAAGTCCAGAAGTTATTTCAATTTTGTCACATTGTCGTCGATTCTTGATGTTGACGGGCGACCGGTGTGTTATGGTCATCTTCGATCCAACTACCTCCCCTCCCGGAATAACGTGTGCCTCTCAAAACAATTGAGCGGCTCAAGGCAGCATCCCCGTAGGTCGGCTCGAACATATCGAAAGTCTCCGTGGCGGTTTTTCCAAGTTTGAAGCAAAACTTCACGCTATGGCGCTGCACGAGATTCCGTTCCATGCAGAGCGTGATGACTTCGTAACAGTGGTTCAAGGAACAGTGTGCTCACTCTCCTAAGGCACGCAGGCAACTTCGGAAGGTCGCATTCTCTTCCTCAGGACTCCCCCTCACATCACGCCGGACTCCCCTTTGTCGGTTTGTTTGCCCTATAGAAAATCAGTCTTACTACGTTTTGATCATATCTTGTATGCAGAAATTAAATTTTAAAAATACTAATAAAAAACCATAACATGCATCTGTGTCGTTTTTGATATAGTTTCATAGTTTCTTAACAGAAAAGCCAATTTGATGACAAGTAAGGTTCTAATGATAGTCAAAAAATGGTTATTAATTTCACAATCTAAACAAGACTATTAGATATAAGTGGGCTGCTTGTTACAAGAAAGGAATTGCAAGTGAATTGTTACTAAAGAACACATCTTTGTCTTTCGTCTACGAGTACGGTTTGGCATATCCGTTCGCCTTTTCTATATCTTGTTTTCTAATTATGCGCCCATATGATTAATTTTATTTGCTTCGGCAAAACTCTTTATTTAATCGAATATAATAATGTGCCATCTACTGCAAAGTGTAATAAATTGAATTATATGATTCTCAAATTATGTTTGTTAAGCTGTATTCTATAACATTTGACATTTTTGAACATTCTATTCATTACATTTCTTACATTTATGGAGAGAAACCCGTGTCGCCACACTTTAGAACGGGAGGTCTGATTCTAGAAGAGTTCAAAAAATATTTGTAAAAATAAATTGATTACTTGATATTCTGTGTAACTTAAACTCGCTGACCCAAGGCTTTCGTTCGTAACTCGTTAACTATTGCATCCTATTCTCTTAAAAGACGATTTCATGTTCTTGACGAAATAGGTGTCATTTGTTATGCAGTTATCTACAAAATAAAGTCCTTTTGGATAATCTATTACACACTTGCAGGGTACATCCCCTTTGGAGCATTGGTTTTCAGAAACGTTTCAAGTTAGATTTCAATCATTCCGATTTTAAATAACTGAATGTTTTTAAATAGGTAATTTAAAAGCAAGGCTTTAAAGAATAATTCCAAAATTAATTGAGAAATTAATTTAAGCTTTTAAATGCATAAAAATTAATTTTGAACTCTATTTGAGGACCTGCGCGGCGTATGCACTGTGCGGTTCGCAATGAGGCTGAAGGCGCAAAGCTCCACTCGGGGAGCCACATCGATCCGAGCAGGAGGGTCACATTTGATACACCTCGCACAGTTATCGCACATATTATCCTTTGAACTGAAATCCGTACTTTATAAAAAGTGATAATGCTTTCGAGAGGTTCATTTAATGAAGAATTTTGAAGGGGTGTTTCTATATTGTGTTCCTATATGCGATATTTAAGAGTACGAAAATATGGTGAAGAGACCCGACATGAAGGATTGTTAACCACCTTTTATGTTAAATGTATTTCATTCTGGTGTGTAGTGGATTGCTTTCTAAAACACCATATAACCGCACCGCATGTAATGAACACAGAACATTTTGCTTCGCCTTATACAGGGTCGACACCTTTCCTGCGGTAAAACAGACAAGCGTGACATTTATAATACTCGTAGTTTTTTCTTTTTGCATTTTTCGACGATATCTATTAATGTCATTATTAATGCATTTTCGCTGATTCCAGCGATTTTAATATTATTTTACAAGAAAGATACTTGCTTCAAATATTGTAATATTTAAAAGATGCAACAAATGTTACCCACAATTCATGAGTAGACTATTCGATTTCTTTGCTCAGAAACTGTGATTGTGAGCCATTGTGAGATTGCAATCTAAGGTTTCTGTGATGCCTATCAGCACCATTGTCGTTCAGCCGATTTCATAATAACTAAAGAGAGCTTTCCTGGTAAAGAAGAGTCCAAACCAAAAGTTTAAAGCGGAGTTCCCTTGAACGATCAGAAGCAGCTTGAATTGTTCATTCGAACTAGTTTTAATAACATTTTTACGTCCTTTTTCTTTGCTTTCCGGGCAATTTAAATGCATTTTATTGATCATTTTAGGACATCGAAATCGACATGACACTGAGGGCACCACGTGACCGGAAGCGCATCACGTGGAAACTGACTTTTCGCACTAAATGGAAGACTGTCAGCAGAGAGGTTATAGCGCTTGATTCTCATAAATCCACATCATCTTCGTTTGCATTTCTTTGACTAGAGCAACGCAACAATGATTATATAATTACTATATTTGAAATAAACTTAAAAAGTATATGTTCAAGTAATTGTTTAGAGAGATTAGAGTCAATAGCGATGTTGCATTGAGGGATTAGAGTGTTAGCATCACACACTGTCGCCACAGTTGGAAACACATTCCATACTTCGAGATCACGTGAGTGTTTCAGCGAGTGTAAATAGTCACGTGAGAGCACTAATTGTAGCGGAGTAGCGTTTTCCGCAGTGACTAATGACAGCGCGAAACTAACAATCAGAGCGAGCAGGCAAAACAAAAGGGCCCACTACTAATTGGTTGTGCATCTATTAATAAAAGCTGTAACACGTTCACCGTGTATTTCACAGTTCATTGTTACTTTTCTGTTCATCGGAGTTTCTGTACATTTTTTATTATAAACCACGAAAATCTACATTGTTCAAATAATCAATAAATAGTATATAAAATGAAATGTAAATAAATATGTCACTCATTGACAACCTATTTATAGAGATTAGTGTCACTATGTTGCGTATAACGGACACTGCACTTTTAACAGTCATAAGTTTTTCACTGAGATTTGGCCTCAATCCAAGGGATTAGAACTAACTACCTTATTACGGTTAATAAAGTGTTAAGAAATGGACAATAATATTTTAAAGACATACGAAATCACAAAAAATTAATTAATCAAATCATTACAACCGCTACAATAGTTTAATGAGGGTAAATTAATGATAAGTACATATTTAAAACTATAAAATTTCCATACTTATCTGCAACGAATCCAAAGAGTAGAGCACCGGCAAATTTTCCAAGGGCAACTACCATTTGAACATTCGATAACATCACCAGCCGATTACAAACCAGTGTCCACTGTAAGACATGACAAAAAAAGCAATTGTTTATTACAGATTACGTTATCGATACCAAAAGCTTAAAGTATTAAGTTATAATCCTCTTCAACAAATCACCATAGATTAGACAATATATTTATATTTTTGTAGCAACTCGCACTTCGTTATGTATTACAGGAACATTTCTTGATTTAATGCATAAGTGAAAGCAAATGAGTCAAATAAATCCTTATAAATTGTGTCGAAATCGTATGAGTTTTCAAGTATAAACGGGCTCAAAAAGTATTTTCAGGAAATTCCAGAATGGCAGCTATTTTCTTCTGAAAATTTCTACATGAAAAGAGATTTTTTAAACTAATTTCTTTTCAATATAGGGGGTCAAAAGTAGACAAAATGTAAAAAATATACATTTTTGGGAGAAAATATGGACATTTTTTGCAAAAAAATATCAACAATATAAATAGTACAAGGAAGAAAACATTTAGAAATAATATATTTAGTAACTTTCTGTTAGTTAATTTTGAGAAAATTGCTCATTAATAAGCGAGAGAATAATATTACTTTGAAGCTAAAGATGATAAAATGAATCAAAGAGAAGGTTACCAGAAACTTTTTTCCTAATGGAGGCAATTTTACGTGAACAAACAGGACATTCAATGAAAAGGAGAATATTTTACATTTTTATACTCCATAATGTAGACAATGTGCTCAACAATTCCAAGCCATTAATAGTCTTCAAAAAGCATATTATACTGTGTGCCCTTAAACATGAAAGCTCCCGTTTGAACAACTTCTCCCCTTCATTCACCTTCATTATCCACCAAACAATAAGCATAAATACGTTTTATATCACAATAAGCCTAATGATCATTTATACAGACCATTTATATGAGTAAAAATGTAGATATGTAAGACATTAAGTCCTTTTAATGAATTAAATTGCTTTAAAATTATGTCAGTATTATTTTCAATTGAACAGAACAAAAAGGAGGGCATTCCATGTAAATTAAAAAAAGGGGGGAGAGGACAAGAGAACAATTTTAAAAAAGGAGAACAAGTCCTCCAAAAGAAAAGATGGCAACCCTGATTATAGGGCTTTCACACGAATACATGGAGTGTTGCTAAGCACATTATTGGGTATGAATGTAACAAAAATGCCAATATACAAGCAAAGCGTGCCAGCTTCGAAGGAGAGGCCCTAGGTCCTACCTCCTCTATGATGGAGGTGCCCTGCTCCACGAAGGAGAAGTGCGAGCACCGCCGGCTCCCGAAGTCGTCCTTTACGCGCCGCGCCTCCACCTCCGCCTGTTCGAAGGGCATCGCCGACAACTCCTGCAGGAAGCTGCTGCTGAAGTTGGCCACGTTGCAGCTTTTGCTGTCCGGGTCCCTGCCAAACAAAAGCACGGCACGACATTTCACTCTCGTACTCTCCGAGGTTTAGAAGACTGCGAAAAAATCCATCTCCGAATTGTTACAGAAAAACACGTTTTGGGAGGTTCCTGAACCCTACTAAAAAAAATGTTTTGTTGTCTGGCCCTTCGTCAGTCCGCGGACAACACAAAATCGATACTCACAACTGAAAATCTTCATGAAAATTTCCGTGAAAATTGCGAGATGAGTTTTAAAGTAAGTCGATAAGTAAAGGAACCGAAAATGAACATCCAACTGTGCTTCAGTCTTAACCCTCACCCTGCAGTGATGTTACGTATTTGTGCGTGCGTCCAATTGGTTGCTTGCAGCTCCGGCGTGTCGCACCAATACTCCAGCTCGGCTGCCAGGAACACGTACGAGGTGAGCGCCCAAATGTTGAAGATGCCCGGCGCAGACGCCAGCACGAACACCAGCCACATCCAGCGGTTGTTTCCGCCGATCTCCTCCAACGCGGCCTCCAGCCCATCGTCTGCCGGCGCACCGGGATCCTGCAACAGCCACGCCCCCCCCCCCCCACTTTGAGCACGAATTGCACGGAAGAAGGACCAGTGCCGTGCCTTAAACAGCTGCCTGATTCGCTTTTCACAAACAGAAAGAAAATAATTATGAAGAAACAAGTGTTCAAATCGAGAATATATTAACATTCAGCAGCAATTTATTACAAAGGAAAAATTGTTACCCGTTGGGGGGGGTGTGCTTGGAGCAGTGTATTATTCATGATGCGTTAGAAAATAATTAATTTTATAATAATTTCGTAGAATAAGTTGTTAATCATTTTTAACAATTTCATTCAATAATGTAAGTTAATTAATTATCAATCATTTCATTTTACAAAAGGATATAGTTATATATAATTTTTAAAAGCAGCAATCTATACACAATATTGAACAATAATTAGATTGGTGCAGGTGATGAAAAAGATACCACGCAATTTTGTAATCGAAAATCGTTTTGTTCTGGAATAGATGACGTGTCACGTATATATTCTACTAGATTATACAGTTTTTGAGCTGAAATTTGGCAATACGGTCACTTTGTGCTTGTGCCAAACGGTTATCATAAGGATATTTTATTTTTGGGGGTGAAATAAGAACCAACCTCTAAGACCTTTTCAAAATTCTCTGAAAAATGCTGACACAATAAAAAAGCTCATTTTATAGAAAAGCATTTCGTAAGTAATGATATAATTGAGATTTTCATTTTCAAACCTCTGACATTATAAAATGAAAAAAATTGTATTTAAAATTAAAGGAGTTTCGGAAAGAAATTTTTAGATTTATCCATATAAACTCAATTCGTGACTTTGCCTTAAATGAAAATTGCTGGCCTCACGGTATTTTTATCGCTCACTATAACGCGGTTTTTAGTATAAACAAAGAATTTTATAAAATCATAAAATTATTAGAATGAACCTTTCTCAGGTCATTTGTTTTCAATATTTTTTTATACGCAAGATTGTAATTAGCTTCGATTCAATTAGCATTTTTTGCAGGCGTGGCTGAGGCCATCAAACTTGCTTTTCGCCTGATCTCAGCAAATTCTGCTACTGCTCTTTTAAGCCATCTAGCAGTGAAGAAGTTTTGCGTGAATGGAATAATTTTGGAGGGCGGATACAATAAGCTCATGCGGCTGCTTTTATGCCTCAAAATCTTTACAGTAAATCTACAACATTCGCACAGCTGGCATTAACTTTCCCTCTCGAACGTAAAAACGTACAAAAGCTTTTTTCACACTTAAGATATTTGAGCTCGAACGTGGGTATAACAGTCCGATAAATTAACCGACACACATCAAGCCGCCTATTCGACGCCATAATCTATCCTATTGAAATACTTTTGGACAATTTTCTCGAGAAAAAAACACGAGTGCAAGACTGTCTTGCTCATACAAGCTACTAGTACTCCGAGTTTTGTTAGTTCGAAGGGTGTTGACCAATCTAAATACCAGGTTTGTGAGTGTTAAGATGCAATGGGTAGCAATCGTGCTACAAGTCTGTATACAAAAAATATACTTATTAACGTTTTAAGCGGTTCAACTCGCACTTCATTGCATTTCCCCAAAACATACATGTATCAAACTTAATCGTACAATAGTAAAACATTTACATTAAATTTTCAGAAAGATGTTTTAATCTCGGAGGCATCGCCGGTATAATAAGTGATTAAATTGCCTCTGAATGTGTAAAACATCCGTTATTGTGAGACTTTCAATGCTAAATAAGGCATGAACTTTATCCCAGCCACATCAGAAGTTACATCAGTGACTTTATATTAAGTGCGATTAATATAAAATGCTTTTCGCATTTTTAAATCTGGCGCCCGACCTCCGCCGATTAATATCCTCGTGTGCATAATGAATCTTCACTTGTGCATTTTTTTGTTCGAGATAGTAAATAATTTTCACCAAATCGGCGATTAATAATTGAAGGGGTAACGGTTGGGCGCGCTCCGAATCAGGGAAGAAACACAGTACAGGATGTTTACTGGCTCCAAATCGCAGCACGGAGATATGGAGAGGGGAATACAACCATGGACGGTTGGCGCCGGATCTTCACGTTCTAGCGGGAAACAAACCATCCCAACACCAATCTGCCATTCATTTCACAACGGACGGGACCATAGGCAGCCGTGGCTGTACACCATTTTTAAGGTATCAAGACTCAAAAAGGTGCATTCCCAGTAAAGGACCGTAATAAAATGGAGGTACTTTACTACTAAAGGGAGCTATATTTTAATCTACTTTTTAAATTTAGGCATCCACAATACGGAGTTTTTCCTGTAAAAATTAGCCATTTTTTGCTGCCCAATTACATTATGTGTATCTTTTATTACGTTGGTACATAAAAGAAAGAAAATAAAAAATGAAAATTTGTACGTAATACATAATTGTTTGTGTTCTTTAATTGCAAGAAAAAACTTTTGTCGTAAGTTGTCTGATTGGAATTATTTTGAAGGTTTAAGTAGCAAGC